TGCTAAGGTTCCTTGGATTAGCCTTTATTTTTGGAAGTGACACATTTCTATGATTGCCAAATGCAGTGAAAAAAGCTTCACCAACTTCTTTTTTGATGGTCTGTTGGCAGCTCTGGATTTTTGACTGAAAGCCGGCAGATCTGAGCGCATCTAGCAATTTGAGCGCGAGGCGCAGTGCACCAACCGAATGCCCCAGCGATTTCCGAGCAACGTCTACAGCGCCACGGCGCGGGCAGCACGTGAAGTCGCCCCGCCGCGGTGGTCTAGTGGCTAAGCTACTCGTCTGCTTACCCCTCTGGTCGTGGGATCGAATCCTGGCTGCGGCTGCTGCATTTTTGGTGGAGGAAAAAATGCTGTATGCCCTTGTGCTAAGATGTGGGTGCACGTTAAAGAACCCCGTGTGGTCGAAATTTACGGAGCCCTCCACTGTGACGTCTCTCATAATCATATGGTGGTTTTGGGACGTTAAACCCCACATATCAATCAGCACGTGATGTCACTGCGTAATAAATTATTATGCTCAACGTTCAGTCTTGAAATGAATCAATACCTCAATGCAAATGGCGACGTCCAGCCCTGAAATATCTCAATGCAGTGACAGCTCCGCGAACTTGTATCATTTTTGTTATTTTCCGAGTAGATACCTTTAGGGCCTTAGGCTGCGAGATGCAGTAAAAGCAGCATTGATGATTCTTGCGCTGCTAGAAACCACCCGATGTCAGTTCACGTTAAGGAATGCTAGATGGTCGTCATTTCTGGATAAATGTTTTATCGTTTAGGTATTTATTTCACGTGATAGCATAGACACGGCCATGGCTGCGGCCAATTACTGCGCCAAAATTGCCTGTTTTTTCTGATTGCATGACAGCTTTGGCTGCAAAAAAAAAAAATAGAACACCAACATAGCCAGACTTCCACATGAATATTGACTGCTTGTTCCCCTAACTAGTCTTAGTCATAGATCGGCAAAACTTGTGGAGCTCACTCGGACTCCAAATCGTGAAACTTTTCTTTTCGTGAGCCGGAACCATTCGGACTCACTCTCATGAAACTTTTTCTCAAAGAGACTCACTCGGACACAAACTCACCAGAACACTACTCACCCAGGCTCAGACTCACAGCTCAATTCGAGTACGGGTATCTCGACTCATCTGTCCGTTAACCTATAATTAGACTTTTTGGCCATGGTGTGAAGGCTTTTTAGCAACAATATCTTGAGTAATCGGTGCTCTTCTAGCCGCCGTTTGGCATTGTATCTTCGAAAACGAGTTCTGATAGCTTGCAAACCAGTAAGGTCATTGTTTTGGTACAGATAGCGACATAAGATATATTTATCAATAATTTCGCTGGATCAGTTGGTAGGGGAGATCATGCCCCCCCCCCCCTACGTTATTCACACCTCTGATCAATAAATATTGAAATGATGCATGAATGACATGGCTTTGAAAAACCAGTAAGTGGACGTGAGTTTGAAAGTCAATTCAAACAAGGCTGATAGTAATGCCAAAGATGACTAGATTGGACCTTAGGTCGGCAGAAGAAAGTGAAACTCACTCGGGCTCAGACTAGGGAAAATATTACTCACCCATATACTCACTAAAACTGAGACTCACGGCTCTATCGCAGTCTGAGTGAGCTCGAGTGAATCGACTCATGAGTGAGGTCGCCGACCTATATAATCTCGGTAATCGGGACGGTACCTGAAAGCTGGTGTAAAAGGATGAAGTTAGAGATATATTCGAATACTGAGCATAAACGCATCTAGCATAAGAGTTTGTAGCAGTCTGCATTTACCGTTAGTAGCCGGTAGACGAATAAAAAAAAAAACACTAGGTGAGTTTGGATGACTCCACACTTCTTCCTCTTTCCCGTATTAATACGCGCACATCACTGTAGCCCCGGCTTTCTCGACGGTTTTATCAGTGGGCTGCACGTGGTGCGCTGGTAGTCTTGCGTGCGTACTGAGGTCGGATCGAATGCTTTTCGATTTGACCCTTCTATACTCGCTCCTCCCTCCTTCCTATATTTTTCACTCCCATCACCCTCGCCGTGTTGTTCAGGTGACCACCATAGATAGAGACAGTGACGATGCCGCGCTTATTTCTTCCCTTTTTCTTTAGAACATCTACGTGTGCTCAGATTTGGGTGCACGTTAAAGAACCACAGGTGGTCGACATTTCTGGAGCCCTTCACTACGGCACCTCTCATGGTCGTATGGTGGTTTTAGGACGTTAAACCCCAACAACAATAAGAAGCAGGCAAGCTACCCAAATCACAAAATTAATGAAATGTTAGCGAAAATCAAAAATAAAGATTATTTTGCTGCACGTTCAAATTTTGCGCTACAAAGGCTTTCATGTAAAAAAAAAAGCAGCAGCTGTCGAGCTAACAAGCAATAGCAACGTTGAACGATGCTAAGTGTAGAATCTTCTTATAACCAGCCAATGAAAAGGGAAGTAAGAATTTTAACATCTGATGGTTGAGTTCATTAATTCAAAACTTGGGGCTTGCGGCGGCTTATCATTCCTAATCAGCTGATCAGCAGTCATTATTCTATATCAAGGCTAGACACAATTGTCATGGAACTGAATTCTGCTCGCAACACTCGTGCTGAATTGCGATCTCTTTTTTTTTTATTTCGAAGTTTATTCAGTACGAGCCACTGGAGAAGCATTATAACTGTTGTAGGTGCCAACATTGTTTAGTCAAGCACTAGCATTAATTCTAAGCAGCAGGTTGACGATTTCTTTGGATAGCCAGCATTACTTGCCTTTTCCGCGTTTCTAACCTGTTTTTCGCCTCAAGTTGTCAGCTTTATTGAACTTCTACCAGGTTCTCGCCGATTTATTATTGACTCTCACCAAGCTGGAACACACTATCCGAGTGCAGTTTTATTATTGACAGTATGCTTTTTCACACTTCAACGCTCACCAGAACCACTGCGGGGTGAAAAAACGAACCTGCATGGTGTACGGTGAATAAAGAAGGGAAAAAGAGGGCATTTCACACTTTGCAGAAACGGCACTTCATTAGGCGTATATTAGCTTCGGGTAACATAATTTTACGTGTATTTTCACTCAATGTGTTCCTAGTTTTATGTTGGCACTATTTTTATAATGCGTGTAATTTAGTGTAATATTCCACCATTATATATATACGTTTATCGTGTGTCCATTCTGAAACTAGCATAAGCTCTGTAGATAAATTATTAAACGGCGACAATTATCCGAAAGGTGCCTAGACACGGATGCCACAGCAATAAATTATACGGTTCCGCACTGTCAATGCTAAGCACGACTTCAGTTGCTTCGTTGTCTTAGAGTCTACTTTGTCAACAGTGTAAGCGCCTAAATGACATATTTTGTAAGCCTCAGCGTCCTTTTGACTCGTGTGGCTTTGCTCCATGATCAACGTGCACTGATAACCCATCAAACACCAAGTTGATTGTCAAGAGAAGTAGTTTAGATTTGGCTGGTCCGAGAACTAATGTCATGAATTCGACGGTACGAAGCATCAACAATCAATTTCGCATTATTCGTTTCCCGGATCCCAGTGTTTGGAAAATGTGCAGCTGACATCTCTGGAAAAAAAATTTGTCTAAACACGCCATCATACTCATGATAGCTTCCTGCTGATAGTAGCTATAGTAGCTACAAGGGGGGGGGGGGGGTCGGAAGGAGAAGTGAGTTGTAATGTTTACTTACATATCATAAAAAACGTTCTGCCGTTACCCCCCCCCCTCTATTTTCAGAAACATGCATTCACCAGCGTGCTCCTTCGTCATCGTAACTCGTGCGGTAGCACCTAACCATAGTAATGAGAAATGCCAGTGTTTATACCGTGGAGGCGTCTTCTGCAGCATATGCATTATAGAATGACTGCCAGTTGTGCGTGTTGGCATGCGTTCACGATGATGAAGCGCTAAAAAGAATGGAGAACTTTGAAGAAGAAAAAAAAAACAGTGCAAAGCACTACTACAAACTACCAGTTTTGTTTGGAAATAACGCTCCCGTATACCCAAAGTATATAAACGTCGTCGTTAAAAACGAGGGCTAACTGCATAATCACGCACAAAAAAATGAGCTAAAAGCCGTGCATTTACTCGCACCGAGTCAACAAAAAAAACCATTTTCACAATCTCTCTAAAGAAGCAGCCTCACACTGAAAGATCAAAACGAGCGGTTGGCTGGCACAGCCTATCTCACTTTTCCTGATAGCAAAAGCTTTAGCAATCTCTCTGAGATATTGGTTGATGTGCTTGTGAATAACAGTGGTTTTATAAAACTCAGATTGGCGCATGCACTCTTTGCAGTGCATTGTAAGCATATACGAGGTCCCTTTTATTAGCATTTATGTTCGCGAAGACGTACATTTAAGCATCGGCCCATCTGACCGATTTATTGCTCAAGGAAGCAAATGCAGATTTTTTGTAATTGACAAATTTGGTACTATGTCTTGCGACGCATACGAGTGATGGTGGTTTTCACCTGCGATATGTAGTATAACACGTGAATATCTTCGCCTCCTTCCTTCAACCAGATAAGAAAAAATTAAAACAGCTGTCTACCTTGTTTTATTTGTCTACAATTTACCCCCCCCCTCCATTTGCTTACTTCGCATCCCGGAATTCGGTTGCTACATGTAATGTTTTTGGTTAAGCGGCAATGGTGAAATACAATCTTCAATATGCATTGTTAAAAACATGAATTGACTATAGCAAAGTGCAGCAGTAGTCTAAAATATGTACACTCTTGTCTAAAAGTTGAAAAGTTCCTCATCTGAACGACGGCCTTCTGTGAAAGCACTTCTGACAGATATCAGTGCTCGCACAGGTGAATATAGCTACGCGAACTATAGGCGCTTACTATTGTTTTTTTCCCTTGTGCGTAATGTATTTCATACGTTCGGAGTTCGTTTGGATCACCGTGTTCATTGTTTAGTGCCGCCTATGAACCACCACTGAATTATCTGCTCTTTCTTTCATTTCCAACATGTCGCAGTGCACCAAAACTACGTGGGTTGCGACTCCGAGAAGACGTGTTTCTTCCTGTCCGTCGTGTTGTGCGATTCAAACACACAAGGCCTGCAGCAGTACCGTGCGATCCTCTGGAGGAAGACGGTTGGTTCACTTTACTTCGCCGCTCAAAGGCGCGTCGATGCGGAAGCCCCACACGCATACTTTATAATGAGCACTGTTTTCCGAAATCCGACCTGTTACGTTGTGAAATCTCATCGTATTTCCGAACGAACACTCGGCGCACCATAGTGTCATCATTTCGTGGAGGGCTAGAGGCAGACATGTTACAAGCTTGACGAATCAAAATTGTACTCGAAGGCCCGGGACGATTTACTTGTTGCAGTTAACAGTGTTCGAAAAATGATGTGTCACTCTCAAGCCAATGTTTCACCAAATGCGGTTTGTGCTGGCGAAGAAAGGCCCCCTTGTCGAAACAATGGCTCCAGAAACATCACTCGTTTGACCACCTATTGATTGTTAGGTCACTTTTTTAGTGAACGTCTGAACTGTCGGGATTTGAGCATTATTTGAGCTCGCTGCATCTGTTATTTCTGGCTGCTTGCGAGCAAGTAACTGTGAGGCTGAATGACGCGTATGAAACGCACATAGCGAATGGTGCGTGTGAAACATTTCTTTTTTCTTTTGAGGGCACGTAAAGTGAGGGGCACCGATAAAGCTTTTTGTCGTTTATAGACTGCATGCAAGAGCTTGTTCAGCAATGCGTCGTACTGTTTGACCTGTACGAAATTTTTGTGTAGCAAGCTAATTTTGTGTTCCCCCCCCCCCCACAAAAAAAAGTGTTCCTTTGGTTTGTTATAAAAGCTAAGGTAGGTAAATAGAACAATAAAGCAGGAGTAGTTTGAATGAAATGAAATGAGCACCCACGAGAGCTATAAGTTTCTTTTTTTTTTCCTCATGAAATATGAAAACGAATACACAGCACAGGTGAATGTGAAGACCGTGTCCGCACCACTCTACCTTTATGAACGTTCTGAACGTTGAAATTACTAATACTGAGGGGTTTCTTTTGTTACCATCCCGCGCTGGTTTTCTAGTGGCACACTTTCGTTCCGTCTCGTGATAACTGCATTGTAGAGGTCTACAGCTAAATGAATTTGCGTGGCGCATGTTTGCTCATATGTGGAACCAGAATTAACGTGCACCAGTTTCGAACTGTGTGCTTGCGAGCTCGAAAGTAAATGCGCTCTTTAATTAAGCTGCTGTCGGGCCTTTTCATTTATTGGTGAGGATATGAGAAATGGAAGTGTTATAGCTACGTCTTTACTGTCTGGTGTCATTGTGTTTAAACGTATGCTTATAGGGGGCCCAAAGGATATGTCTCTCCCACACACCGAACAAGCCGCTTACAGTCAAGTCAATACTGAGGTAAGCTTGGTGGTTTGGATATATCTTTTGTTGCCAGGAAGGGGAAGCATTTTTGTGCTTTTTAAAGAGGATTGAACAACATACACATTTTCATTCAGAAAGCTCACGCATGACCCCCACGCAACTATTTTTCCAAACTATTTCTCGGCAGTACTACGGCTGCGTACCGACCTCACCTTTTCGCCCAGCGAACGATAATTACGTCAATGTCGAGCAAAGTGCTTTGCCCCACCCTGGAGCCCCACCCTGCTAAACAGTCCCGAATAAAGCTGGCCGACCTTGTTTTTTACGACTTGCCGAGTTGTGAGGAGGGCCGATGTCAGGAGCACCCCCAGCGGTTTTGTTTTTTCTTTTTTTTACGTGTTACTAAGTCATTTTCGAAGCCAGCGTTTAGCACTCTTCGGGCAGAGTTCTTTGGTATTTCTGGTATAAAAAAATGTTTTGGTGCTCCCTTCATGAAGCGCAGCATATAGCTTCAAATGGAACGGCTGACGAATCTGGTTCGTATGAGACTGTCTTTGTGTGAGTGCGTGTGTGTGTGTGTTTGTCTTTACACAAAGAAGCCGAGAGTCTGTCATGAATCTGCTTCCTTCACTAGGCTGGTCCGACTGCATCAACTTCGTTTTCGATATCCAAGAAATCTAAGTGACAAACACATTTCAGCGTTACCTTTTTTTTTTTAATTCCGCAATGGGTATCTTCAAGCATAGATATTCACTATGTTTTAGCACTCTTCTAACTGGATGAGCGGATGCAAATCCAAATGAGATGTTCTGCGCCCAACGCCTTGCCATGAAAATACACTGTCCTCGCGTATTCATATGCACTTTATGAATTTTTTTAATATATGCATTACAGGAAATGTCCCTTTTCTCTTAGTCAGTCACTATGTACAACACCACTATTCCGGTAGTAATATGGTTACTATATTATTACTTCACTTAAATTAATATCACTTTGTGTCGCAGTTTTTCGCATTTTAACTCTATAAACTATGAGGTCCACGCGTTAGATTTGAAATAGTGGCCTCCCCCCCCCCCTTCCTCGCTCTGTGTTGTCGCTAAACCAGTGAAAATTGATAACACTTCTCTCTCTCTCACTCTCTCTTTTTCCTTCTTTCTTTTCTCTCTTTCTCGCTTTCTTTCTTTTTCTTTCTTTATTTCTTTCTGTCCTTCTTCGCAGCAACTTCGAGACACTGGACAGGATTGAAAAGGGCCCCAAAGAGATCTTCACTCCAGACATTCAAAAGGTGGGCATCGGCGTTACCTCATTGGTTCGCCTCTATACGCTCTGGCGGGCGCGCATCTCGCGACCGCGGTCTCCGCTCGGCCCTGCGCGGAACTGGCCTTGGGCTCGCGTATACAACAATCCAGCCGAGGTCTAATCCACATTATATGCAAGGGCGTGCGGTATAAATTTAAGCAATGGCGTCGCCTGGCAATCGAGACTGTACCGTTCGAATTTGCATGCATAATCCGACCTCATCACGACATTTTCATGGCGCTGCGCGGCTGCTGCTTCTTCCGTTTATAACGGTAGTTCTGTTTCTTTCTGAATCATGTATAGACAAGGATAGAGGCTCGGCCCGCCTGTTTGCCTTGGCAAGCGCCTTTTCGCGAGTCTCCCCGCTTTAGAGCAGCGCTTTCTTTCTATAGCAGCTAAACATTTGCTCAGTAGCGCATGGTGGAGCAAAAACAAAAAAATTCGTTCGCGATCGGGGAGGAGGTGGTGAATATATTACGAATATGGATGGTCTGTTGCTCACACTGCTGCACAAAATGAACTCGGACTTCGGACAGAAATGTATATTATATGCCGAGTAAGATATATCGTCACGGCCCAGAACTTTTATTTGCGCGAAGAATAAGGATGAAAAATGACGGAGAAAGACGAAGTGGACGTTCACTGAGTTACCCGCGGCGGAATCTTGCAGCTTCACTTGATCGTGTTTGATTCAGTGTCGTAGATATGAGCGGTATAGAGTTACGGGTACATCGATTCATTTCCATGTAGGCTGACAACTGCGACGTCGTGCGAACACAGTGAACGAACTCGGCGAACTTGTGCGCGTGTTGCGTTCGAATCCCGCTATGAACAAGTGTATGAAACAAATCACGGCCTTCTTATTAATACCAATTTGCAGAGGTCATAAGGAAAGGATCAAGTCTGCCCTTTCTCTTTGCGTGCGTGGTACGAGATATAAAACAAGAAGTTATCTGGCTATGGTGCTATATAGTAAACTACCTCTGCATCCATAATATAGGGGCATCTAATCATTGCCTCCTAACACACATGCGTGCCGTAATTACTACTGAAATCCGGTGCTATAATGCTCGCGTACGGGGTAGGCACGAACTATTTTATTTACGTTTCATATTTCTTATCTAATCGTTTTTGTAGGTTCTTTTATTAACCTTCCCTTAGCTACATCATTACAGTGCCACTTTGTTCTATGGCCACTTTATGTCTGACATAAGTTTAAACATCCAATAAAAGAAAAACACGTTTGCATTCCTATCCTTAAAGGTTTCGCCACGAAGGTCTTGCTGCAGTTGGAATCAATGTGTTAGTTTGTATCGTTTAAATGAAAAAGAAAAGCTTCTTTTCTTGCCGCCAATGTCGTTTGCTAAATTTCAGCGAGTTCACAGCGAGCGCACATGCTGAATAAACGAGCGCACATATCGCTGTTGCCAACTTAATTCTGCACCAAGATGCCCCCTCGCACATCGGCTTTTGAATGCACCGCCACACACACACACACACACACACACACACACACACACACACACACACACACACACACACACACACACACACACACACACACACACACAGACACACACACACACACACACACACACACACACACACACACACACACACACACACACACACACGCACGCACGCACGCACGCACACACACACACACACACACACACACACACACACACACACACACACACACACACACACACACACACACACACACACACACACACACACACACACACACACACAAAAGGAAAGCGCATTCTCCTATGAGGTTATGAAGTGCGCAGTCTATAGCAGCGTACGCGTGTTCACTCGAGGTTTGTACCAGGATGAGAGAGACCTTCGACGATCGGTGCGTCCAGTCGCGTAGAAGGCTGTTTCCAAGTTGATATACGGCTTGCGTCGCAGCTTATTTCTTCCTTCGTCCTAACAGTCGCACGCGTGCGTGCACGTCTCTTCCACTGCGTGATTTGCAAAATTACGTCCCTCGCACGGCCTGCGAAAAGCTCCTCTATAACCGTGCTAGGTGGTGCCCAAAAAAGCGAGCGAGAAGAAGTGAAAGGAAGGCGAAGGGCTAGCGGTGTCGTATATAGTGGGAGAGGCCGACGCACCAGGGCGTGCAGCCAGCGTTTGGCCTGCGCGCATGGCTCGAGCGAAATAGAGAGCGTGAGCTGCAGAGGGACGAAAGGGGAGGAATGGCACTTGGTAACGGCGCCGAGCCCCACGCCTCGTGCCACTGGTACGAGCACGCATTCGGAAGAAAAGCGGCTTTGCCCTTGCCGAGCGGTACGCTTTTGCTAATGCTGGGGACGGTACACGTAACGAGCCACGGCATCCATTCTTGTGTGGCTGTGTCTTTCGGTTCGTCTGCCCTGCGCACATGTGTGCTGTGTTTCAGATAGTCTGTTATATATATATATATATGATTTGATTGATTTGTGGGGTTTAACGTCCCAAAACCACCATTTGATTATGAGAGACGCCGTAGTGGAGGGCTCCGGAAATTTTGACCACCTGGGGTTCTTTAACGTGCACCCAAATCTGAGTACACGGGCCTACAACATTTCCGCCTCCATCGGAAATGCAGCCGCCGCAGCCGGGAATCGGAACCCGCGACCTGCGGGTCAGCAGCCGAGTACCTTAGCCACTAGACCACCGCGGCGGGGCTATATATATATATATATATATATATATATATATATATATATATATATATATATATATATATATATATATATATATATATATATATATATATATATATATATATATATATATATATATATATATATATATATATATATATATATATATATATATATATATATATATTCGCGTGCCCAGCAACATTTTTTTTTTCGAATTAAAACAGAGAGCAAAAGAAAAAAGCGTGAAAAAGACGTGTGTTCCTTTTGACACATGTAAACGGGTTGATTTTTTTTTTTCATTTTTCTTCAACAGCTCTCTTTGAAACCCTTCAAGAGCACTAGACTATGTCAGTTGAATTAATGTGTTCTTCCCCGTCTACATTTCCTACGCCTTGACGCGCCAAATTATACACGAGCAAAAGTAAGTCTGCTCTACCGGTGGTGCCTTTTCACTCGTGTCTTACGGTGAGTGGATTACCATCGTTGCCTGCGAAAAGGCTTAGACGAAGATTCCCCTACCATCATCGTTCGACGTTAGTGTTGCTGAGTGGACACCTTCAAGTGCTCGTTTCGTAAATCGTGGTACTTTTGGACGCAGTTGGGTAAAAGCGTAAAGCAGTAATACGCACAATTCGATCTTGCTGACTCCGTGATGATGGAAAGAGTGCAAGCTACGAACGCTGAATATGGTTTTCAACCATGTATAAATATGCAAACGGTGGGACACGTGGAAAGCTTCGCTGACTGAAAAAGCCGACCGCTTATGGGATTAAGTGCTCCTGTATATGGCATAACCGTTTTTGTACGAAATCGATAACCAGTACGCTGGCGCATGACGACCGCTTATCGAGAGCTATAACGGTATATTTAGGGCCTTATATACCCACCCACTTTACACTACGCTGCCGCAAATCCAAGATGACCGCTATTTCCTTTTTCTTTCTTTTAAGTTGCCCCCAGTAGAGTACGATTGGTAAGCGATGAATGTGTTACGAAGCAATAAAACCGTAGTTAGCTAATTACACTTGATATAATTCAGTCCTAAAACAAATAATCTGGCCCGTCGGCGCTGTTGAAGCAAAACGAGCACGTCGCATTCGTTGAACGACTTGTCACTGCTATCATCATCATCAGAAAAGTACCACTGTCACCGCATAAATAGAACTCCGAGTACCCAATGCATGAAGGATCACCATTCATATCAAGCTATTCCGCCCCAGAAGTTTGCACTGCGAATATCGGTGCACGATTGAATTCGCCCTACTGGTAACGACATTACCTGCCGTGTTCAAAACAGGTCAGAGCTTCAGGGGAATACATTAGCTGTGAACCCATCCAAAATTAAAAAAAGAAATACTGCCTCTTTTGAGAAATCCCAACAGTGTCTCCGAGTCCTCACGGCTGTAATGTGCTCGACAAACCTCGCATGATACGCGCTGCGCTTGACGGGTTGCAGATTAAAGCTTGCTGTGTTTGAAGTTCTTTGAAACGCAAACACAAATGACATTTCACTCGGACAATGTTGCCGGAAGTTGTACGCTGTCAGACAATGCATTTTGGCCGGCTAATTACTTGAGCCGTATAAACTAATTCTGTCCACGCCAAATGCTACTGCGTTCCTACAGCGGGTCAGAGTCAAATCAAGTCATCCTGTTCGCATAATTGCTATGAAGACAGACAATGACGTCTTTGTGTCACGTAAGCGAAATTCGCGAGGTATGTGTTATCGCGCATCCGTCAACGGTTCGGTTCATTTGCTAAGAGTGATAATTAAATGGACTCTGGCGCTTATGTTTGTCGTTTTCTTTTTATATTTTTTACAGGACCTGCTTTTGCTGGAAGAGCAAGAGGTAAGGGTTTGCACTTTCGTCTCGGTCTAGAAGAGGCAAACTTCCTTAGTAATTTATACTACGATAGGTTGGGGCTGAGTTTAGCGTACGTGTCGTTTCATGTCACCTTCAGGCAGATACAAAGAGTATCAGTTAAACGAAAACTCACGGCCCGAATTCACGTAGCCATACGCATTTTCCCCCTAAACATTCCATTCATGATAAAATTGTGTAACAATTAAAATATTCATATTATTGCGTAAATACGTAAATTATTAACTATATACCCCCGTATTCTAGAACGTCCCTTCACACAACGCTTCACCTTCACTTGAGAAAGCCGATGGAAGCGCCCTCCTTTGGCACAGCAAGTCACTGCATATCAGCGATAATGTGGTGCGATTCTCTAGCAGCACAGCGTCATTTTCAGCCGAGAAGTGGCGCAGTGCTCAACTCTGTCAAGTGAAGGGTGAAAGTCGAGTCGAGGAGCGTTTGTGAATACGGGGGATGGAATTCTTCCCTAATAGTAAATTATCCATCGTTCCGATTTATTGTCGTCGGCCCTTTCGAACAACGCTACGGTAGGTTCAAGTACTTTTTGTGTGCGAATTTAGGCCCACAGATGACCGATCTGCTTTCAATGGCTGAGAGAGAGAGCAGCACCTTATTCGAAAAATTGTTTGCTCATGAGCTCATTTGGCGCATTCCTATAGTAACTGGGCGCATTCGCTATAGTAACATCCCCTAGGTTACGATTCGCTGCCTTCATCTGTGACGGCGGCGAAATAACTTCGTCGCTAATATCAATGCTGATACGTTAGTGAAGTGACGTGACAACCTCATTTGATGGCAAAATTTTGAGTGTACGTATTTGTCAAACAAATATTTGCTTTAGCATACGTTAAATCTCTCTACTGCTCAAATCTCAAGACACTCACTTGATGTCGGCCCAAATCGCCGGAGGCTGGAAGGAACGTAAGTCGCGTGAATAAATGGCAGTTGTACGAAGGGACAGTTAAACAGGGAATTGTTTAACTCTGTTGCTTATTTGAAATGTAGAAATGATGCATAACCATGCAGATAAAGTAGGGACAATTTATATTGGACAAAGGTGTGCTTTTCACAGGTGAGGACCGAACTCACATTGTTCGCAATACGTGTGAGGGCGTACCTGTAATGAGGGTCAACGAACATGAACGTTGGATATTTTGTCTATACATTCTATAAGGAGCGCAGTCACTCTGGACAAAATTAACTTCTTCTCTGTACGAATCAGACGTTGGAAAGCGACGCTGTCTGTATTCAATTGAGCTTTGCAGAGCACGTGTGTAGCTTAAATTAGGATAAGCGCTTTGTTGCACCTTACGGAGTTGAGTGCTGCTGATGCAGTTTAAAAGACACTGACGTCCTTTCCTTCCTTCTCTGTCACAGGGATCCGTGAATTTCAAATTTGGCGTCCTGTACGCTGAGGCTGGCCAATCTACCGACGACGAGATGTTCAGCAACGGTAACTTCCTCTTGCTCCTCCAGTGGCGAGTGATGTGCGCTTAAAAAATGCCCCGACTTTCCCATTTGAATTTCTGATTTCTGTTGGCTTCCATGACTCGCGCTGACAAACAAGGCTCGCTCGTCTTCGCGTTTTTCAACAAAAGTGCGCGTACGTTTAATTATGAAACCTCTGGGGCTCAAAAATATCATATGTCTCGACAAAGAACGAAAAATTAGGTAGAAATGATTCATTGATTTCTTCCCCATACAGATATTTCACCTTTGTTGAAGAAACAAAAAAGCGCAAGTTGTTCCCAAGCTTGTACTTTTACATAGCGCCTGTTACTCCTTTCCGCAGCAAATAAAATCGGGGAGGAATCCTGACAAGATTAGTTCATTAATTTGTGTTTTGCTTACCGGAGTGGTGCTCCTTTCTTTCGAAACAGAAGTGGGGAGTCGAGAGTTCGACCGCTTCGTCAACCTGCTTGGCGAGAAAGTTCGCCTTAAGGGCTGGGACAAGTACCGAGGAGGCCTGGATGTCAAAGGTAGGCACGCGCGCACATCAGGTGTGTCTCATGCAGCAAGACAGCTACCGCCAGCAGCAGCGCGAGCATCCGCATAAGACACACGTCAAATATTCACTTTATAATGTAACGCGTTGCTCCTGTTTCTTTGACTGTCGCCGCTGAAGGCAAAAACATCATGTTTCGGTAGAGTTGCTTTGTAGTCCCATGTTATATGTGAGAACGAAACCACGACTGATTTAGGCAAGTGGGTGTGTGAACACTAACTAGCTGTAGCGCAAGTGTAATGAACACTGCGTGCAATGCACATAAGATGACACATGGCGATTATACCGCCAATAAGGTATACGTTTCTAGTTTTCACAGCCGGGCATGCTTATCACCTAACCTAATTGTTAAAAGGCAGCGCAAACTATACACAAGATAAAAGAGCGCTGCTCATTAACAATGATGTTTAACCAACTCACCCAGTCCAGTACTTATCCATGCTTATCACGAGCTTTGCATTACGTACACGCTGATTAGAAGTCTTGTCGTCTACGTAGTGAAACGTATACCCTTTGTTCTCCTTATAGCGTTAGCTGAAGGGACAATCTGATTTAGTACTGACTATATCCTGAGCGACCAGCGGCTTTCGGTATAGTAGGTTTAGATTCCGAGAGATATATTGCGCCTTCTTTTATGGAAGATACATGGATAAATTTTGCCGTATGGTGGTATATTATGGGTGAGAGATTTCAACTCAGCTACGCATGCGGTGCACTCCCACCTATTTGGGATTTTCGTATGTGCTCACACCAGTACTGATGCTGAAATAATATTATTTTTGACGCTTTCAGGTGACATGACAGGCAAGTACTCTGTCTACACTATCTACGAGGGCCACGAAATCATATTCCATGTCTCTACGTTGCTTCCTTACTCCAAGGACAACAAGCAACAGGTTAGTGAATTTAAATTCAAGCGTACGAGAGTAGAGAATGTGCATTATGATCCTCTTGAAAATAGAAAAAAAAAACGACTCGTCTGTGCGCTACTTCGTCCCGTGGCCAGCTTCATGCATGGGCTCTAGCGCTAAAGCTTGCCACGTTAACAGTACCACTGGGACACAGAGCGTAGCGAACGGCGTAAACAGTTTTAAGTAGCAGCTGTTGCTATTTCAGGCAAGCTAATGTGCCAGCTACAGACCTGACAGAGCAAGACCGTCGGAGCGCGCGCACTTCTCTCAACGCGCACTACTTCACGGGTACACGAGTTCGCTGCCTGGATGCATTAGGCTTGCGCTGAAGTGACATTTCCACAGCCTATCTCTTTCATGGTGTCAGCATATTCTAGTTGCGCGCTCGAAATTTTGTAGTGTGTTCAGCGCTGATTCCTAACAGCGATTGTCGCTCAGGCTTTTGTCGTTTCTGTGAGGGATTTTTAGGAATATGAAATAGGAAGGAAGTTTCGAATATGTTTTCAGATATTTGAATGAAAGGATGAAACACAAAGTAGTAGTGAGTGAGAGATGCTGAAGCAATAATTTATATGCCCATAGCAGCATCTGAAATTTCAAGCAGCACCACTTCGTGTATACAGCGGACCCACATCGGTGATTGCTTTTCCCATGCTGCCATGAGTAAACCGATGTTCTTATCGCGTTAACTTGAACCTGTTAGCAATTCCCGACTCATGAATTATTGGGAAAACGCTTGAGAGACAATAAAACGAAGGTTGAACAAATCATTTAACCAAATTTACTTGCACGCCAGAAGTTGTGTTCATAGACTTGTGCAAGCAAATTTGATGGATTGAGCTTTTTTTTTTGGGGGGGGGGGGGCGCCCGTGGAAAAAAAAGGAAGCATTACCACAACATGCAGTCGCGATGTTCTAGGCACCAGGTTAAATTCAATATGGCTCCCATGAACCCTTGTGCCTATAGCAGTGCATGAACTCTGCATCTAAACCAGAAAGACAAACATTGCTGCCAGCATAACCAAAATAATCACTTTGCTCCCCACCACTGCACCGCTCAAGTGCTGCAAACAGAAGTGTCGACACCTGTGCGTTTCCCTCCGGATTATTTGGTCCGAAGTATGCGCGTTACCTCTTTCTCTGTTTAATCGAAGAACGGCGCACTTTGGAGAAGCCGTAATTTCAGCATCTGAAAGTCTAATGGAATTCACGCCGGCGCTCTTCACCGTAGTGGCGACGTTCTGCCGACTAGCATGCGCTGGTAAACGGGAATATGAAGCGTCACTAAAATTTCAGCAGACGTGGTTTTGCGGCTGTAGTTCCTTGCACTGTTCAGCAATATGATGGTCTTTTAGGCATCGTTTTTTCATTGTAGCAGTGTTCCTCTTATGAAAAGCAGGGCCTATATGGAGCAACCTTGCAGACACCACACTTTCCTTACAACAGCTCCTTCTTATGTCAGTTTCTAGTAGTACTTAAGCGATACTCGTACCCGATTCACAATTGTTTGTTTGTTTGTTTTTTCCTTCATATTATGACAGATACCCACTTTGGAAATCTTCATTCACTTCTTCTTCATATTCTGCTTGCTTTGTCATCTTGTATTTACTACTTCAAACTTCCTTATCATTTTGAGAGTACATTAAAGCGTTTTATTTTGTTTGTTTACCAGAATCTCGGCCCCTCATTGTGGGCCGTTTATACTTATGAAGAACAAAATAAGGCCCCACCGCGGTGGTCTAGTGGATATAAGGTACTCGGCTGCGGACCCGCAAGTCGCAGGATCGAATCCCGGGTGCGGTGGCTGCATTTCTTATGGAGGCGGAAATGTTGTAGGCCCGTGTGCTCTGATTTGGGTGCACGTTAAACAACCCCAGGTGGTCCGAATTCCCGGAGCCCTCCACTACGGCGTCTCTCATAATTATATGGTGGTTTTGGGATGTGAAACCCCACATATCAATCAATCAAGACCAGAATAGGGCTCACAGCCACATCCAATGACCTAACCCCCCCCCCTCTATTTTTTTTATTTCACCAACGTCGCTGCAATTTATTGCGTCCCGTTTAACGAAATCGGTTGCCTCAAACAAGTTTGCCAGATCTTCCTTGTCCACCTCCAATTTTGTAATCCGAAAATTTCTCTGAAACAACTGATGCTGTTTCGCTAGAAAGTCGGAAGTTTTTTGCCAGTCACCTGCATCAAAACACACTGTAGGCAGAGTACTATGCTAAGTGGGTACTGTACATACGCACCACCTCTTCTTGTTCCCATCATTTTTCATCCCTCTTTCCTCCCCCCTTTCCTTATCCCCTGTATGGAGTAGCAGGCTCAGGTTATACTCTAACAGGTGATAAGGGATAACTAGCTCAGGCTGACCTATCTGCCTTCTGATAAATTCTCACTCACACACACCACACACACACTCGTTTTCACAGTTCTGGCCCAGTTCTTTTACCTTTGTGCCGGTAAGAAGGCTTCTCTGAATTTACTTTTATATTTGGCACATTGCCAGTCTGCCATGCCAGGAACTCAGAAAGAAAAGATAGGTTTTTTTTAAAAAAGGAGACACTTTCAAAGATTAGCTTAAAGCTGACTACTATCCTCATCGTTCTTTTTTTTTTTGGGGGGGGGGGGATTCGTGCAATATCCAGAATCGACGCGGTCAATCATGTTCAACAACCACAAACTGGCATGAGCCGAGGCGGAGAACTTTGGATACATGGTGTGTTCGAAAATATATATGCAGTATATGTCTTCCGATTCTTGACTAATACCGCTGAGAGGGTGGGTGCCAGAATTCTTTAGGACATCGTCATCATCATCATTAAAGTTATTGTGGGTATGATCCAGTTAGTGAAACGAAAACAAAAGAACGGCATCACTCAGCTACTGGCGGAAACGAACGTTACGTGGGTCATTGCGACGTTCGATTAGGCGCTGCGAAAAAAACCTGAAACATTTCCATCAAGAGGACTGCGCACCTCTCGGATTCTCCCGCCAACTTTCTCGACTGCCTCTGCTGCGGCCAACAATGTTCGTGCTCATTGATGCTGTTAGTCCTCGTGTGGGGTTCTAGCGTGACTGTGCTTGTTGCACGCCCACTTCTGCAGGGATACTCGAACGTGAAACCAGCTGCCTACAAAAAAACTGCTATGTGCATGGTTCACTCAATGAGCTCGGGCTTGAGCCGGCGGCATCTGCTTGTCGCAGTCGTCCACCTGTCACTGCTGTCGCATGCAGCGAATGGTGACTCAACGCTTCGTAAGGCCAGCTGTCATATTGTTGGCAAGAACGTGGAAGGGCTGTTGTTATTCATGTCACGAGGAGAGTTCGTCGCTATTCGAGGCGTTATCGACGGCCTCGAACCTGGCAAGCATGGGCTTACCATAAACGAGTCGGGTAACATCACGGAAAACTGCGACGCCGTCGGCGCCCACTTCAACCCGTACGGCAAGGAGCATGGGCCCGAAACCTCAGAGAACTCTCACCTGGGTGACCTGGGCAACGTGGACGCGTCAGACGAGCTTATCGCCCAGGTGCAGATCATCAGTCGGAGGCTTCGTCTCCACGGCAATGAGAGCGTCGTTTCTCGTTCGTGCGTCGTCTACGAGAAGCCGGATGACTACGGCTCCAAAGGAGACGTATTGAGCAAATCTACCGGCAGCATGGGAGATCCCGTGGGCTGCGGCCTCATCCAGGGCTTCGGCAAGCATGCTGCCAGTAGCGCTTCCATGTTCGCTTTTCCGCTGCTGTTGTTACCTCTAGGAGTAGCGCTCGCCTTCGGTGCATTCCTGTTATGACGCGTTTTCCATGTATACCGCACGTTTTTATAAATGAATGCCGTTTGCTTTAATGTTAAATGCGTCTTGCTGTGTTTTGTCAAATACTGCGTAACAAAAACAACAATTATCGTCTTCGTGCGATACACTAAAAACCCAGAACCAATGCTTAACAAGCATGATTCGCTCAGTCGCGTTTCGTTATATTCAATTTCCAGGTGTTTCGCGCCCAAGTTGACGCCATGCTACCGCTGATAGCCCGTCGTTTAGTTTTGTTAGGAGGTCAACCGCGTCCTATAGAGACACCGAAGAATTCACAGCCGTTACAGAACAGCTGGGCTGACCATCAAAATGAGATGTTATTAATGCTTTCATGTCAAGTTATATATCATGGCAATTATACCTTTTCAGTGTAGGAATCGTTGACTCACCTAGGACGTTTTGGGCTAATTACTGTAAGTGGTATACTCTGACTTACCAAGCATTAACAAAAAAGCATAGATGTTTCGCCACCCAAGCAGGGGGAATTCTCAGTATGCACCGGCGAGAAATAAGCGGAGGTCACCCAGCTCACTTTCGAACAAGGACGTATTCACCTAGTGGACTGGACGACATCTGCTAAGTTGTTGCCAGTGTATACTGAAAATGCCGCCTGCTTGGGTAGCGAAACATCTATGCTATTTTGTTATTTTTTATGTTGAATCGGACTAAATATTTTAGTTACAGATTCACGCGGTTTTCGAGACATTTTCACACTTTTCTGATTGATTAACAAGGATCGCTTACGAATTATGAAGACGATTTTAAGTAAGGTATGACTGCATATCTCAGTCACATCCTTACATGCTTTCTAGTTATGTGGTTACCTAATTAAGACTCGGGTTTCTTATTTGCTGCGCAAAATAATTTACTCATTTAGCAAATACACGTCTTTTATGATGACTATGACAATTGTGGTGTTAAATGCAGCTTTATGTACTTCAGCTCAGCTTAAACAGAGAGAGAAAGAAATAGAGAGAAAAGGCAGGGGGGTTCACCAAGCTTGGCTCGGTTGGCTACCCTACACTTGGGGTGGCGGAAAAAGGGAATATTAGAAAGGAAAGAGAAGGAGACAAAAGAAAAGAAAGGGTGAGTTAAGAAGGGCCTATTTATAAACCGGCAGTTAGCTGCGGTCACGCGACCACGTTGGCCACCTTGTCGAACAACGACTGTTTTGGCTCAGACTCTCGCTGGTATATATTTTAGTCACACAGCTAGTGAACCGATCGGATGTACCTGAACGAGACACCTGCTTGTTTTACGAGGTGATGGTGGAGCGAGCAGACGTGAACGGCATCACAATCGCGATTTATTCTGGTGTGGCGCTCAACCGGGCGTGCTATGCAGTCTGAACATCGGCTATTTCGAGTCACCTATCGGTTGCTGGTCGCAAACAGCTCCGTGACTTCAAGTCGCCGTTGAGAATGAGCCCGAATAAGCATTCCTAACAATCGTTTGTGTGAAGCACTCGAAGAATAGTGAATATGATCGTGTGCTTTGACATGTATCCGCTACGGTAAATAGGCTACAAACTGGTGTCAGGACAAAAAGTAAAAGTAATGGGTATGTAGCAAGAGAAAAAGAGAAAAGAAGAAATAAATTTTGTTCAGAATAGCTGCCAGCACTGGCGTATTTTATCCCAGTTTTGATAGCTGATATTAGGGTCATAATATTAGCTCTCCAAAAGTTACCCAGGTTAAATACAGTAGTAGTGATTATCACGAACTCATTATATGTGTGTTCGTCTCTCTCTGCATATGCTGAAACGCCTCTCCTGAAACTTTTCAGAATACTAGTTCCCGCGCACCTTCAATGTCTCCACTTAATTTGGGTACCATACACAAGGGTTTTGTATTTAAACGAAAGCGCTGATTCTTTAGCAAAGGCGGCGCTTTTAGTGCCAATCATTCCGCTTTTCCCACTGACAGCATACATCACAATTGCATTATTCCAATCGCTAACTTTCAAAAAATGATTATCAGACCCTGTCTTGGCAGCTTATCCAGAATATAACCACCTATTATTGTCCTCGAACAGTGAGTTATCGCGGTCTAGAATAATGAAAGTGGCTATAACGAAACTTCGCTGCCGGTTACCTCCCTCAACTTTTACCTCCATAGAGCAAGTCAAGCATTGTCTCCTCTGTGTCTCTTTTGTAATGAGGAGTAAACAATCAGTCATTACTTCATATCTTGTCACCGGTACACGTTATTGAGGAGAAGATTCATAGCACCACGTCTTCGAAACTTGGGCCTGTAAATATCCGAATAAGTTGTTCTATCATTTAGCGCCTCTACTCTGGGCTACAGTCACAGGGATGTTTACTACGCAATAGATGAATTTATCAGTCAGACTAAAGTAATACTGAGTTAAATTCTTCATCCGTTTAAACATTTACATATTTATGTTCAGTAATTAAATTTGTTGTATTACCTATTCCTAGTTAATACGAGAAGTATTGCGAGGAAATACTTTAAAAAAGAAATTCACCTAACACTTGGCTCCCTGCATTGAGTGAAAGCCGTGAGAAGAGGAGAAGAAGAAGAACGCTGCATTGAAACTAAAAGAATTAAGCTTTTTATTACGTGACCATTATTTCTGCAGAAATATTTCAACATAAACAGGAGATTTGTTTAACCACGTTAATTTCTATTCAAGGTAATGAATGCATTGTCTGATCTGTACGAGTGACAAACAATTACTGCACTCCTTTGATTCAACCTAGGGTGTATTTTCTTTTTTTTCCTCTGGTGGGGGTATCGATACTGAATATAAAAAAAAACTCTCACTGAATAAAGTCATCGATTCTTGGCCGATCCCCCTGAGTGGGTACGAGCCATGGCTGTGGAATCATCATCATCATCATAGGCCCAGCCTTGACGCTGAGTATTTTGCAACGTATTGTGATGCCGCAATGTGTTATTTAGCGCACTTCTTTCGGCAAAGGAGGTGAGATTTTTGTTCATTCTTGAGGCTCCACACGTGTGCCTTCGTGTCTCTTCTAGCAGCTATGCCTCTAAAGCACGAAGTTGGACGAAGGACATACAGAACACTCAGCCAACGTTCTTGTCTGGCTTATTTGTAGAAGTCTGGCGTGAAATTCACCACTGGTGTGTGCATATCGCCTGATTGTTTGTGGTGATAAGCACAAAGAATAATTGTTATATTTATGATGAATATTTTTGCTCTCACTCAATTTTATTTTATCATCTATAGTTGTTCTAATGCAAACCCGTGCACTATGGCACAACTGGCACCTGGTTAACCAGCGCGAGGTTCAGTATAAGCTCATATTGTGGACTCTAAAAGTGGCACACTTCTTGAGTTACGCGAACTGCACATCTCTAACTACACTTTATATGCTTGCTTCATTCTAGGAGCCCGTATTGATAGTGACATAAACTTCTCGAAGCGTGCCTATTTTACGTGTGGCATTCATTCGCGGGAAATGACAGGAAAGAGCTGTCATAGCGCAGTTGACAAGAACCTTGCTTGTGTCATTTGCTTACGTACTCTACCGAGCTCTTCGCTGACTGCGTACAACCTTGCCTGTTAGGCACGGCAACATAAATCGTTCCCAAAAAAGGAGTGTCATGCAACACTTGACACACTAGGGAGCACCTTACAAAATAGGTTAGAAGCTGTAGCGCGTTTCCTTACTAAATAGCACCTTTCCTGAAACGGTGTTTGATAATATGAGACCTTTTGTGCAGTTGAAACGAGCCTTCTCGAGTTAGAAAGAAACATTTAGAAAAACTGGTGTAACTTCCTTCTAGTCTCCCTAGATAATGGTGTGGTTGATAATTACTTTATTGTAGAATAAGTCTACTTTCCCTTCCTGCATGTTTTTATCATTTTTAGAGCTGGCTAGGTCAGACGTATGGTTTCTCTTAATTAACATTTCCATGTAACTATTGTTCTTTATTTTAAGAAATCCTTGAAACACAGGGTGAACTTCTGAACTCCTACCTTATTTGAATTCGCTGTTTTACTTTTCTTGTACTTTTTGTTGTCTGAAATACTGTTATCTTTAAATGAACACTTTTGTAAACTTTGAACAGGTATGCGCCAGTGAACAGGCTTTTTGTCTAATGGACCGTTTTTGTTTCAGGTGGAACGAAAACGTCATATTGGCAACGACATCGTGAATATAATCTTCTTGAACGGAAGCTATGAAGACCACTGCAATTTCAAGCCATCCATGATCAAGTCTCAGTTTACTCGTATCCAAAAATGCGTTCTTTTTCTGTTGCCATATGTAACAAGAGTGCCCTCGCGAAACTCGATGGTACAGTGCTCAACTCTCATGTCTATAATGACGGAGCCATAGAGAAACCTACTATATAAAGAGTGGCCACTCGAGCCTTTTCGCGGCCCACCAAGATATATATGTATATATATATATAGGCTCTGACCAACCGCTAGATGGCGCATCCATGCTAACTTCTACTCTTCTGTCACGACATATAATAGCCCCGCCTCAGGAGGTAAACATGAACATGAACCAACCAGCCCAAATGCGTACGCTTCTGGAGGTAAATAAGAACCTAAGTTTGGCATCAAATTTTCGCAAAGAATAAACGTTATTGATTTGTGCAATTTTCCACATCCGTTCTAAAACGTGTCCCGCAGATGGCGTTTAATGCTTCACCACAAAAATCAGTAAAGTCTGACTAGAAAGTGTTGTTTTTCTGCGTTTATTTTGCACAAAGGGTGCACATTATTGTGGTTTAGATGTGCTGCAGATGTAGTGCTTCTGTGGAAACATGGGTACGTATTCTAGTGGCAAAGACATTTGCTTTCGGAGCAAGAGGGCACGTGTTCAAATCCCAGCATCGGAGAGAAAAAGTTTTGCTACTTTATTTATACAATCGACATAATCGCCTGTGATCAGCCACTTGTGGCGCTGAAAGCAGGGCAGTAGCTCGGTCGCAGGGCCCTCAGGGAGTGTCCACTTTTGATGCAAGAATGTTTCTTCATGATGAAGCGTCACACGCGGTACAGCACGAGTGGCATATGCAGTCGCAAGTACGCCACATCTGAGCATGCGCGGTGCTAGTAATGTGCCTGTCTTTCAATACTGATCTCTGCTTATCACTGCAGAAGCAACAACCACTTTGGCCGTTGAAAGCGGCTGGAACGATTTAGCGAAAAAAAAAACATAAACTTCAAGCAAAAAAAAACAAGAACAAAGCGACAAATTCCCGCTGTGATATAATATCACGAAGCGAGATCAAGCTTAGGCGCCTAAATGGGCAATTGCTGTTTTTCTTTTTTTTTTGGTTCTATAACACTGACAGCGCTTCGACGGCCAAAGTAGTCATCGCGGCCGCGGAGATAAAAGATGGAAACCTCAAGGCAGGCCCATCACTGGCGCCGGGAATATGTGTACCTTAAAACATTAAATTTCATGTGTTTCATATATATATATATATATATATATATGAAACTTGCAATTTAAGGTACACATGCAGTGGAAGACGAAATTAGCCACTTTCAATTAATGATTTCGCGAAACATAATGCGTGCATGAAATACCGACCACCGGTATGGGCTAAAAAAATCTTGATTGTTCACATTACTAATTGATGCCACTGTCAAGTGCGCAGCATGCTTTATAAAATAAGACGTCTAAATTTACAATATTTTCTAAACGTTCAGGTCAGCAAGAAGGCTGTTGTAAAAACATACTCTGTAACGCGTACGCTGCCAGAATGTGTGATTCGGTTGGGGATGTAACTTGTGTATTCTACACTCTTACATACAGTGCGGATTACACCCAGACCTTGATAACCCTGGGGTTATCAAGCTCACTTACAATAAAAGAGTAGATGAAAAAGAAGCTATGGGGAACATAACTAAGCAAACATCAGTAAGCAGCGGTACTTTTCTTTCTCTCCTATTCTTCGTTTCAGTACGCTTCGCGTCAAGATACCACAACCAACGTGAAACGGTACGGCTGCAAATCTGCATTTGTCTCGTTCGAAACAGCAAATGTGTTCAAATATTTACCTAATTTGTGTGTATACGTGCAGAATTTGCCACACCACGACGCGTCATTCGCCTGCATATACAAGTGGAGTTCCCTTGTTATGCGCTAATTTACACCTGTTCAAGTTAGTATTCTTTAAATGTCAATAAAGAACCCCAAGGCTTGGTCTCTCCTTACAATAAGTTAATAGAAACCTTTATGAATAACCAACACCATGTTCCTTGACCCCCCGAACTCAGATATTTTCGCAGTCGTTTCTTATATCAGAGAGGAGGATGCTTACAGGTAAGTTTTCCTTTTGGCTTCAAAAACGTGCTTCCTGAAACGTTCTCATTTTTGCTTTAGCATGTTGAGAATCACTCAGTCCCTTCCGGAGATCAGCCAGCAGACCGGTACTGCAGGTAATCAGTGTTGCCCATTCAGGAGCAATTGAACTAGGTCGGCCTCGTGTGCAACCTTGGTACATTAGTCACATTACCATACTGCCAGTCTTCTAGGAACCTGAAGGGGCTACTGCTGTACACGTTCATCATACGCAACGCTAAATATGATTATGTTTCGAGTGTACGTTACAATAATGAAGTATTGCTCATATGAAATAACAGATAGTTTTTGTGCCCGAGGTGGTATAGGCTGCAAAATTACTCGGTAGATGTGAGCCTTGATGTCACAGTCTTTTCAAAGCCCGATTCTTTGTTTTGTGTTCTTAAAATTTCATAATAGGCTACGGTGATTAGCTATTCACAAAAGCTGCCCTTTTAAACAAGACCAGGGGTTATCAAGCTTTCAGACACTTATGGGAACAGAAAGGCTGTGCGATTTATGGGGGTTATGTGCGGAAACCACGGGAAAGGTTTTTATAAGAGTTGCTTGAGGTTTTTGAGACAAATTCGTATTAGAATTGTAAGAAGTGGCCCGCCATTTTGATCATCATATTCTATCCCCACCAGCAGCCACTGCCGATGGAGAATACGTGGTTCTGAGCTTCTGGTGGCAATAAGGGCATCTGTATACACTTTATTACCTTTTTCAATAGCCAATGAGACTTTCTGAAGACTGCAGAACAAATTGGTCATTTTCTTTCATGAGACTAGAACTGAAAATTTGACTCTAAACAACATGACTTTTATGTGAAACTGCCTAATGATTAGCTTCGCTCTTTGTTTTGTAGGTGCATTACAACCGACCTGAAAAACTTCATCGTGATTTCCTATCAATCCCGCTTTCGTTCTATATGAAGCGCACTTTGAATGGTATTGGCTCGCGCCATTAATATTTAAAAAGTAATCATAGTAAAAAATATTTCATTTTAATTTTCTTTTCGAGCAAGCAGTAGATTTCTCCGTAAGCTTTTCTAGGAATTTGTCATAATTTGGGAGGACATATTGGAAGTATAGCAGGTGTTTTGCTTTCTCAAGTTGCGCTATTCGCTGAAGTTTGAATTATTTATACGCCGATTGTGATTGATGTCATTAAGATATAAAAAGTATGATAATAAAAACGTCAATCCTGCAAGTGTAAATCAATAAAAAAATTTTCTTCGTCAATTAAGGAAGCATCAACCAAGACAACATTTCGTGTTGTAGTATCGACTCGGTATCAATGATACATCAAATTTTTCTTAGTTTTTCTGGGTGCAGCATTGTTTAAAAAACTATTATTCCATTCCACTGGCTCTTAAGAGTAAATTATTGTAATAAAAATGCCGTTTTTATTTCAGAAAAAATTCAGGCTTTTGGTTGTGTGCATGAGCGAAAGGAAGAGACATCGTGACACTAATTAACGCCACTGCCAAACTAATTGTTTGGTGGGTGTAACGTCCCAAGTCCACCATGTGATTATGAGAGACGGCTACTGCCAAATAACCGTGCGGGAGATCAAAAGCACGTGTCATCATTTCATGAAAAACACCTCTTCATTACAGTGGCCCAGCCAAGAGTTTTTGAAAACCCAGTGATGCTGGGATTCTTAATCAGTCAGTCTGGTGCCATTGCTAAGCTCGAGAGATTGTTTCCGCGTGAACGGTGTCCGGCACTCCAGCAAACAGCGCTACATTCTGACGACGCCAGCTTGTTTGCTACTTACAGGTTGTCTTTGTTCTCGGAAGAGTCTGTGCCGCTGTTTGGGCCGTCGCTGCCATGTCCTCCAGTGTTCCACAATCACCAGGAGTTCAGAGAGTTTGTGCTTGTTAAACGTGAGTTTTTTTTTTTTTTTGCTCAGAAATGTGTGAGAAAATACGCGTATATATTGAAGCATTTGCGTGAAAATTTTTCTTGTACTTGAAGTCTGGAAGTAATGGGTAGTTGGTATATGTGTTGAAATAAGACGACGATCACGGTTTTGATATAAAAAAAATTTGGAAAATTTATTTGATTCGATTTTTGGCACTTCAGCCTTTTATTCTATTAGCTGATTGGATACTACTGGGAAGTTCTATACCACTTATATTAGTACAATAAATTTTATTTATTTATTTGTTTATTTATTTATTTTTTTATTTGTTTATTTATTTATTTAGTTATTTATTTACAGAATACTGCAGGCCCATTTAAGGGTCCCAGCAGGAAGGAAAAGATCATAGCATTGCACACAGGTGTAAAACAGCAAGAACAATAAAAAATACATCATATACAAAAGATACAAAAAGATATATTATAGGTCATGGTTAAATACGCTCAAGTGCCTCTACAGAGCCGGTTAACGTTTGAGGTAGGCAGTTCAAGTCGTTTATGATTCGAGTAAAGAACACCTTTTCATAAACACCTTTAGAAAACAAATATAAATTTCTATATTCCACAGTCAACCGATTAGTTTTTTTCTTTGCCTCAGTTCTAAGCTTTGTTCTTACATAAGCCGATGGTTTTACGGTCGACACCCCGAAGTGGGCGAGAGCGAAAACACAAGAGTCAAGCAAGCAAGCTCCATTCGTCTCGGTGTTGTTCATGTGTCATCTCTCGTTGCTCAGCTCTACCACCTGAGAACGTGGTCACCCTGAACGCCTCTTGACATATCGAATCACAAATTTTTCATAGCCTGTACATTGGCAGCTTGATTCTGTTCAACTAAAGGGTTCTGACAGTTACTGTATGTTTGTTATTTATTCTTGACTACTGCCTGACTGCAAACACGTGTCTGTGCTCTTGCGTCTGGGTCTGTATTTTTTTTAGATTTTTCTCTCGTATACTAGCAGGTGTTTGACTATTTCACGTGAATATTTCACGCAACTTGCAAATTCTAGTTCACTAGTCTGCTCAGTTTTTTTTTTTGTCATATTGTTGCTTTCTCATTGCATCTGACGCCACCTTGACTTGTTTCTACGGTTTTTTTTAGGTAAAGTATGTGTCGTCAATGGGACGACGTCGGTAGCCTTTGTATTCTATCAACTCCAAATTATCTCTTTGTTGTTGTTTCTAAAACTGGTGCAGCTGTCCTTTTTTTTAACGTGAACGCGCCAGCATTGACCACCGAATCCATGAGTTCCTGTTCCAGGCGTCTTGGTGCCCGTTCCCAGAACAACCTTGCAGAAAACAGCCGCACAGGACTGTTAATGGCGCCCATCCACGTTTTCTCGTCCATTGTACCATTGAGCTCTGTTATACGCCATTTATGGATTGGGTGGTCGATGCTAGCGCGTTCAGGTTGAAAAAAAATGTCGGCTGCGCGTTTTTATAAGTAGAGCGCCTTGGATGCGCATCAGGACGATGCCATTTTCGGAGGGAGGCAAATTCACGTGCGTCCTGCGAGAAGGACGAAAGTGACAGTGCAAACGTGCATCTTCTGCACGCCTTTATGCAGAACGCAACAACGAGAAAATATTAGCTGGGCAACGAGGTCGTATAGACTCGTGATGAGCACGTCTGCCGCTGAGCTTTTGCAAGAAATTTCACTCTATGACCACTGTAAAAAGAAACACGCCATTAACAAGCTTGGCGTTCTACGTTGATCCACTCAGACAAAATATGAAATACGGGGTTAACAGTTGGACCGCCATTGAAACTTCGGTAGCGCTTAGTGAATCTTGGTGTAAAAAGCTAATTCTATATACTCATCTTCATCATTACTGTCAGCCTTACCGAGATTCACATTTGTACTCAGGTCTATCATACGTGTTGCAAAAGAGTATCGTTCATACACCATTTCAATATTTATTGATCAGACGCTTGAACTGCACAGAGAACTGCCTTGACCCCCTTCCCCCCTCAATCCACGAACTTTTCCAGGGAAGTTCTTTATAGATATATCTTACGCTGTCATCAGTTCAAGAAATATCTCCTTACTCGTTTGCAGCCATTCGTAACTCGTACTCTAAGGTACTGTATAACAGTACCGATTACGTGAGATTGCTAAAGAGCATTGACAGCATGGTCGAACAAGCTAATTCTAGGCTAAGGCACTCATGAGTCGACTCACTCGGACTCACTCAGACTCGCATCGAGCCGTGGGCCCGGGTGGGTCCATATCAGAAGAATGTCGGTAAGAATGAGTCCGTACAAGCCCGAAGCGCAAAATATATTTGATTAGTGGGTCTGCAGGGAGCTGCGCAGGTTTCCCGCTTGTGGTCATGACACGCGATGATAACAGCGTGAAATGTAACATGTTATAACTTCTTCTAAGAATGAACTGGTTGAATCAATTTGCCGAATAAAAAAAAGGAAGATCCTTCGTACAGTGGGAATCGATGATATGCAAAGCACGAATGATGAAGGTTGATGTGTCACTTTAAACTCAGCACCATGTTCTACGAGGCGTACGTAAATTATGTCGTACATAGCTTCCATGTCATCATGTTTGCGCCTGGCATTTGTATTTGTCGTCCATTCACGTCATGTAATACCAAATTTGGTTATTGTGAAGCTAAGTGAAACGGCCACGAGCGCATCATGAGCATGGTATGTAGTCATGTTCTTACATGACATACATCTCATTATTATCATGTTTGCATCACCTTAGTCATCCATTCATGTCGCGTAACCCCACATCACATTATTATCATGTTTGCATCACCTTAGTCATCCATTCATGTCGCGTAACACCACATTTGGCATATGTGAAGCTAGCGAAATAACCGCGAGTGCACTGTGAGCGTAGCATCCAGTACCGTTTTACATGACACGCATGTCACGATTATCACGTGTTATTTACCTTCGTCATCCATTCACGTCTCGCAATACCTAATGTGAAGCTTGCGAAACAATCGCGAGCGCACCATATGCGTGGTGTGTAGTCATGATTTATTACATGACATACATGTTATGATTTACACGCGAGGATTTGTCTCCTGTGTTCGCCATGCAGTCATGTCATGCCATACCAGTTTTGCAATATGTCATGTGAACGAAACCACCGCAAGAGCAGCAGGATCATGAAATGTTCGCCCTAGCAAACAAACAAGCAGGGATGTCTTGGCTGCTGTTTACGATGTCTCAACGAGGGATCTGTATTGGTTTGCTTGAATTATTCATTTCCTCATCAAGGAAATTGCAGTTTCGGAAATTGCTGATATTCGTGTGTACCCCAGGTCAAAAGAACTCGCTGTTTGCTTAGACACTGTGGGCGCCGAGTGAGGAAAGATCCCGACGAGGGGGACTTTTCTTTCAATCGGGCTCGGATCGTGTGCGCTCTTTTGAAGGGTCACCAGCGTGCCATTGTTCAAACTCGCTCGCCCGCGCATCATGCTTTACTAGTGCGTGTATGTACACGCGTGCTGTATACGCTTCATGAGCCCAGCGAGCCCGCCTCGCGTTCTGCCTGTACTGCGACACAGCGCGGTTCTTGTCCTGCCACCCGCGGTCTCGGTTTAGGCGCTGAAAACAACCTGAATTTTTGAACAGCAGCCGCTGCCAGAGGTCACGCTTTTGATGCGCTTCCACAGAGCAACTAGAAGTGCAAACAAAGACCACCGTGTATTGACGTTCTTGCAAGAAGGTGCACCTTTCGGTGCTCCTGCGTGGACACGCAACCTTGTCGGCGGGTGCGTATACTGAGAAAACACAGGGATGTGGTACGCAAAATATTTAAAAGAAACAACAAAACAAACATCTCCAGTTCAGTTTAAGTGTAGCACGGAAATAACCTCCGGTGATTGGATGCCCGATACACTCGCGCAGGACCTCTGTTTGTAGCTCCTTCAGGGCCCGGACGAGTAGTGATTTGTTTCCTGCATTTATTACCTTCTACTTCTTCTACCGCTTCTCTTCTACTCATTCGAATGCGCGTGAGGTGGAGAACAGCGACTCTTCGCTTACTTCTCTTCACATCAGCCAGGCTGGTTTCGCGGAAGTCAGCTCTGTGTTTCGTGAAAGCGCTCTTGTCCGATCGTGAAGTTTCGTTGTACGCTCGAAGCTTCGTTAAGGAGGCGCATGCTGCGGCGATAGAACTCATAGAGAAGTCGCTATAATGTTGGAACTAGAAGCATGCGAAATGTTCGTCGGCAATGACGCGAGGAGGCAGTCTATAGCCGGCTGTCTCGTCGCGGTTGTGTCTCTTCTTCTTCACCAGCATAATAATAATAATAATAATAATAATAATAATAATAATAATAATGTTGTGTTGCTATTGTTTTCATCATCTCACTTTTTGTATATGATGCATGGTATCACAAAGCACTAGCGTCTCTTACGTATATATACTTATCGCGTAGCACCAAGTAATGAGCCGTGTAATTCGTTTTTCTACATTTGTCCCCAGCTTAATCAAACAACTGTTCTGTGCCATTTGACAGCCAGAACACCTGTTCCAACTGAAATAAATATGAGATCATTGCAAACATTGCATAAACGTAGCCAATGTTCATTGACAGGAAGTTGTTCCCCAGCGTAACTGCCTCCGTCTGACAAGATACTTCAACTTCACTGGAGAATAATCACCGAAATCTGCAGTCGAACCTTGTTGGAGCAGTGCTGCCAAATGATGCGCAAATTTGTTTCACTTTTACACTCTATTCGCATTACCACACCACATTACGTGCGATGTGGTAATTCATTGCGCTCTCGTTTGTTCTATATCGTGGAATACAAAACAATATCTCTATGGACTTAAGTACCGAAAGGAAAATGCTGCCCTAGACAGCTGCATAGAATCTTGAAGCATTTTACGGGCCTTTAACTTGGCGCGGTCGACTTTGTTTCAGTATTTGTATAACATTTAGCTCATGAGCTGCTATTTAAGGCGTTATTAAATACTGTCATTCTATCATTCTTTCCATTTACCTTTAACCATAATGTGCGATCTTACACCCAGCTTTTAACGAGATAGCAAGGCAGTGTTTTAAGCCTGACGAAAGCAAATGTTTCCATTTTTATATTACTTCAACCATCCGGCAGCGAGGCGCTTATGCTACGGATCCTTCTTTCGACTTTAACTTGAATTCACTCCGACCCTAGCGCTCTATCTTCGCAACGCCTTTTGCCCCCACATTTCTTGAGGCGCGTTCGCGAGGATATAATAAAATCCAATCGTGCTTGAAACACAGCGTGCGCGCAGGGACTGCCGCTACACTGGCGTCGTATGCCTGACGCATTTCCCCGTATAGCCATTTCGGCGTGCGGAACGTATACACAATGCGAACACAGCGTCGACGACGGGGGAGGAGTGGCGGCCTCTCGTGCTACGTGACAGAATTACGAGAACCGCGAGTCTCGTGTCTGAGGTGTCTACACTGAAGCCATCCTTGCTAGCAGTGGTTGCACGCCGCGACGTGACCAGGCGTCGTTCTTACGCGTGCACTGTTTACCGCTGCACGCGTGCCAGCGTCAGCACTGCCAGGAACACGCGATGGCCTGCCTCTGTTCACTCGTGCGTCGCACTTTTAGTTCACCATTCCTGTGTCATCGCCTTGCTCTCGTCTATCTACTTTATTTTACTTTCCATCGTAATACGCGCTCTGTTTTCGCGTTTCGTTTATACACGGCTGTCGCTTGGCAGATATGACAAATTATAAAGAGGTGTGACCCATTTTGACTTCCAATGTTGTAGAGCGGGAACTCCTCCTACTCTAGGTAACGTGAGTTTCTTGTAATGTATTTCTTTTTCGGTCTTTTCCCGACTTGCTTCTTTCGACTTCTTGTTTTGTGGGAAAGCTTTGTAGTTGACGTGAAATGGGGACTATATCTGACTATGGCTCGGCTGGGAATGTTATGTGCAGGTCATCAAGTAAGGAAGCCGTAGCATGTACCCGTGATTTTCCCGGCAGCGAAGCTAAGCTATTTGTGCCTCTCGGAATCATCATTTCCCCATCCCACAAATCGGTTCCACTGTGTTATACTTCTGCAGGGGCAGAATAGCCCCCTTTCTTCATAGGAGCAACTCTACTTTGTGTAAGCGAAAAACCCATGGTAGCACTGTGTAATGCGAAAGTCGAGCAACAGCTTGGTTACACAGAATATCGGTCTCTGACACTCATCGAGTACTTTACGCCTCGGTGGAGCCGTGTGTTCAAAAGGATGCATTCGAGAACCACTATGCCACGCTATAAACATTTTACGAAATAAATATTTTATTCCTCATTGTTCGTTTAGTACGCGGATAATGAACCATTCGCTACCCAGAGTCCTTTCGCAACTATAGAGACATTTTAACCTCCCATGATACAGTAATTGCGTGCTGGCTGTTTCTGCGTTTGTCGTAAACAGTGAAAAAAAAATGATCGAAAACAGAAAAGACATGATAGATATCCTGAAGAATCGGCGCCATAACTCCCGAGCTAAATCTGCTGAAAAAATTGCATGTTGTTTTGTTGTGTTCTGTGCAAAAAAAAAAAAAACCTCGATTCCTCGAAGCTCTGGTCTCCTTTGCTAAACTTGTGAGACCCTGTGACAGCAAAAGGATAGGTAAAAACGAGTGTTCGTACATCGTCGACTGTATGTGAAGCAAGAAACTTTAATTAAGTGATGTGTATTTACAACCAACAGTGATTCGTACTACAGTGTCTATATTGGATGGTGCTTTAGATATCATGAAATGCATTTGCATGTGTTCTGAAGCGCGATCACCAGAATAGGCTTGTGCACTGAGTTAAATGTCTACACAACAATGTTGAAAGGACCAAGTCAATATATAATGATGCTTGTCGAGCGAACGGAGCCGATGACAGGTGCAAGCACAGCGACGCATTCCATACCTGTAGTATTCCATACATTCAAGTATTCTCTATCTTCTTTGGTGAATACAGCCTCTATAAAGTAGGGGTCTCAAATTCATCTCAGTCAGTGGGCCACAGTCACGGAATTTCGATCCAAAATCAGCCGGACAATGAAAAAAACCTTGAGGAGGGGAGAGTTTTACAAACTGCCAGCATTCGTTGCCTTTTGTGAGTAAACGTAGCCCATATCTCATATACGGGTCATTTCTGCAGGACATTCTACATTTGACACCAGAGTTTCAACATGTCGAAAGTGGTCTCCAGTATGACTAAAACCTGGACGCCGATTCTGAAGCAGAGAGCTGCTATTTTATGGTTATCTTTCAACGCATGGTAATCGAAGATGATGTCTCATGAAAACAATGCCTTATACATGTTCTGCCTGTGTAGCTCACGAACATACTTATAAAAAATTTAAGAAAAACTACACGGAACGAAGATAGTCGTGTAAGGCTGCGGGCAGCAAGCGAACGGTTTGCGGGCCGCGTGTTTAAGTTTCTTTCTCTAGAGAATTGGACAGGGATGCAGAAAACCAAGTGGCGTATAAACCCAATGGCTTAGTCAATGATAACGAGATACAGAAAATGGTTGGTTGAAGATAATACGGCATCTCATCAAGAACTCCGGGTGCTTTTGATATATCTAAATTCTGATAATACTCAATACATTTGTCAGTTTGGTGAACAGACATCCACATAGCGATACAACCACGTATACGTCAGGGTGCTAGATTGATATAAAAACACACAGGATAGGTAAAGATACACAGATAATTTTGTTATATTATGCAAAAGGAGAAGGTCACTGATGGGGAGACTGAAGGATAGGGGTGATAGGCACAAGAAAGATTGTTTTTGGTGCATTGAAGCTGCGTTCGAGTGGCGATGCCAGTTGTAAAGTGCATGTGGGCATCTTCATTTCATTTTTTTTTTCAGTGATCAATGGTGAGAAGGCGGCCTTCAACACGCCAATCTTCGCCCAGAAGCGAGAGAGAACGCTGGACATGCTGATAAAGGACCTTTACAACGAGCACATGTCGGAGAGCAGGACGGTGAGCCGCTATGGGTTCCTCATGAGCGCATTTTGTCGTCTTGACCTCTGTGGGCTATACAGTCGATACAAACCAGGAAAGCACGCACAGGCACACGTGTCCCTTCTGGGCCAACATCTTATGTATAGTTCAAGGAGAACTTTCTCCAGAATGTATATGAATAGTCTGCTACTCTTCCGAAAGCTGTGCTTGGGAGTTCTAAATTTAACTGCCTCACAATATGGCATTGTTCTATGGACATGCAGTCATGAACGATTGGATAAAGAACACTGAATGCGTATGCTATTAACGGCAACTTGTTGCACTGATATCAACGTGATGTATTGAATTGCAAAAGATACTTTTCCACTTGAGCGCTTAGAGTTCTAAATGAGCGCTTGCCAACCGAGTTTAGTCGGTGTGACCTTGAAAATATAACTTCAGTGTTCCCTTTCATATTGCTCTCAACAGTGCAGTTGGGAATCAGCTTGAATTCCGTATTTATTCAACCCCCTACAAGCAGACAGGCCTTTCACTTACTCGAGACTTCCAGCGTTAACTCAAGAATGTATTTATTGACCCAACCACTTGGCAAAACTCTTTCGATATTTTCTTTCTTTTTTTTCCGTGTAACTTTTGTGCCACATGCGTTCTAGGGTCTTGATGGTATTGTTAAGGCTATACTCTTGGGATTTGTCATATGTTTTTAGCGTAGCATTGATAGTACGAAACTGTTTGAACCCATACAATGAATTAACTACTCGTTATGATGGCGCTCAAGTCAGTGGGAAATCGCGCGAGACCTGTGGCGTCCCCCTTTACTAGCTGAAGCAGGCCAAGCTGATTTTTTTCATAGGGCGTGACAGAATACACTATTTTCGCCTTTATCTACACAGCATACTCACGGGTGGTGCAGCACCCTAATTTTTCATTCACGCTTTTAAGTTATATATCCATATGTATACTTTTTTTTCATCAAGTGTGATCACCTCGTTATTCAAAATATTATTCTTTATAACTTGTGTTATACCACTGCTCACAAATTTATTAAGGATCCGGCATGATGTCCAATGAAATTGTTAGATTGTTTGTAAGAATTACTGATAGGCAAAGAATGCCTGAAGCCGATCCACGAGCAAGTCAACTGTGCTGCTTTAGGCTCCCGGGGTGAGGGGGTACCTTACAGATTCGTCCACCACCTTAGGCAATTCGTTTTCCACACTTGCGATGACCGTTCCCAAGCTAAAATAATTTGCAAGAGCAGCTTCTAGAAAATCCTAATCAACAATTTTTAGTATATTACACAAAGAACAAAACTTCAGATAAATTTGGCTGCATATGAGCAACAGGCGGGAATTCGCATTGTGTGTAATGCGAACAAACTTCATAAGAAGTCAGGAGCTGCGGACTTCATTGGGGGCGACCACGACTTGTTTGAAAGTAACTGCTAAGCAAGGAATATGGAATAGGGCTACTTCTATTATATTTTGTCATATTTTACTGCCTATAAATTTACTCTGACCACTCGCTAGTCTTGTTCAGTTAAGGTAGTCACCAATAAATAATTTAAAGTAGGAGATTATGGTCTAGGGGAAGTGGCAAGAACTAGAACTCTCACTAAATACTTCATACGCTTGCATTCAAGTGAGATTACATGACCATATTCAACGATCGTGGTGTGTTTACAAGGAATAGTCAAATGCAACAAAGGTGCCTAAAACACGAGGGACAAGAAAATGGGACAACATCCAGGTAGCTTTCATCCCTTTTCTTTTCCGTCGCGGGCGCCGTTTGCTGCTATAATGAACAATCTAGCCAACAAATAGCCATTAGTTGCTCCCACAAGTCAGCATAAATGGGACTGCTCTTAATTTGCGCTTATCAATGCGGCTGTCAGTGGACTTTTTGAAGTCATTCAAGCACCCCTAGAGAGTGAGGCTGAGTATAGAAAGTAGTTTTCATGTAATAACTGTTTGCCATTGACTAGTTACTTTGCTTTACATCCCAGATTCTCGATTTTCCCAGTTCTCAGTGCACATGCCCACAATCTTGATTTTGAAGCAGCTGCTCTTACAAACAATTCAATTGCAAGAATGTTTCTTGTTGTGAATACTTGTCATCTTATTTACTATAGGCTGCGTGTCTGCGTTTTTTATGGTTCCCCACATTTATGGGATACGTCCAATTGGCAAAGAAACGCTCATAGGAGCGTAAATTTAGAATAAACTTCAGCATGCTAATATTTAATTATAGGTATCATTTAATGGGTAGAATTATCATCGCATAAAGGCCGATTTTCATCATGAAGTGGACGTTGACTTGAATACTAATGATCTGCTTTCCCATAAGTCGACTGCCTAATACACGCAATGTGGTTGATCATTACGCCACCTTTCGTGGAAGAACGTTGGTTAACAACCATGCGCATTTATTACGACAGAATATGCTGAACAGACGTGCATTCAGTGACGTGTTGCCAGAGACACCCAAAGGTTCGCGTCGCAAGGAAGAGGCCAGACAAGTGGAGTTTGTACGAATTGGACAGGTCAGTCCTGTTTGGTGCCTATAGTGCCACTTTCCCTGTCGTTTATCCTCCCCTTCTTATTTTTATCTTCGAACACTTGATGACCATTTAAATATGTATGTCAGTGCGTTTGAGTGCTTTAACACCACCATGTTTTCTATGTGTGTTTTTTTTTCTTTCAGGCCCTCAAGCTGGACACCATTGTTAAAGGGGATGCTCCCACCAGTCTCGCCACTACTAGTCTCTTCAAACGAGAAGTAAGCACTCTGCTTTTTTTTTTCTATTCTACTGCACGACAAAAAAAAGAGAAACTAATATTACGAGATGAAACAAAAACTTTTAAAAAGCCCTGCAACACTTTTTCAGCACGGTCAAAAGACGCTGCTGATCGGAAGTCTAGGCTCCTGAGAACGCGCCAGCCGAACATTAGAGTGCAGCACGTGGCCTGAAAATTAGAAATAAGTCTTGAATTTGGCTAGGAGTCGTTCCCTTTTTTCTCTACAAATGATTTCATATACCCAAGTGACCGAACAATATACCCATATGTACGGCCATTGGACGATTTCAGCATCGTGAACTGCGTGGTTACCATAGCCGCCGAGAGAGGCTGCCACGTGCCCGCTTGCGTGTTAGCGGTCAAATGGAAAATAAGTCATGCGTTCGAAAAAATAAGTACTCAAGGTTATGACGCTCATGTGCCGTAACTTCCTTCTCCCGTGTCATTTCTCTCTGCTTAGCTGCCAAATCGCTGATCGGGATGAGAGAGAAGAAAAGGCAGTAACAGCGTGCGACATATCCGTAATATCACTCACGCTTGAAGGATTCTCAACATTTTTGTGGGGTTCAATTCGTGAGGCAATAAAGTTTGTGTGTTAATTCAGGTGATATTTACTTGAAAAAGTCTTGCAGGGCATCTTTAATGTGGACATTATCTCGCTCGGCGAATATTTTAAATTGTTTTTATAAGCGGCCCACGGGAGATTTGCTCTTTCATACGGAAAACCATGACAGGGTGCCTGTAATCGAAGTGTCTCGCAGGCTTCGTTAATTTGTCGGAGGAACTTCCAGCCAAACCACATGGCGGACTCGTGCGTTTCACAACATGCGCTCGAAACTCTCGACACAAAGAACTTGTAAAAAATTAGTTTGATCTCTAATATTTTCATTCGCAACAGACATTTACATTTGTATGCGATTCTTGGAAGTAGTTTAGACAATTAGTTATGTAACTAGGCAACATAATGTTTTATCCGAAAGACCCAGCTGATTGACACGAATGGAATATTTAAGCCTGGCATCCAAGATGCTTCCACACAAAAAAAGTTGGCGGTGCTAATCTTTCAGTGTAGTGCATTCTGGCTGATTTCATGCATGAAAGTGACGCCTAACTGCTTGTGCTTGCAACCGTCATGCCCCTGATAACCGTGAGGGATAGGGACTGGTCGCGACTCACCGACGGGTGAGCATGAAGCGAGTGGGAGCAATCTCACCAGCTTCATGGTCGCCTTTTGTCAAGGGTTAGGTTAGAATTGCATGTGCGGCCCCACTTGCCAAATTTTAAGATTGCCCAAGCCATAAATGGAAGAGTCATATTTAGTTTTACTGCACGCCGTCGCCACTTAGTGCTCTGCTTACTAAGTGACTTTGAGATGCAAATGAGTTTAAGTACCTACTTTTTTTTCAGCATGCTTCGCCGTCAAAGTACGTGCTAGAATGTTAATACCTATGCGTTTTTCAAGTCCCCATTTGCGTTGCCGACTTGGTAGCGCCCCACCCGAGCGTAATGCAGTGGCTTGCTGTTGCACTGCAGTGTTTCCTTGGATATCTCGCGCTCTTACTGAAAGTACTTCTGGGAATTTATTAGGTTGCACTGCCTCATTCAGTGTTTTTTTTTTCCTTTCGCTGAACAGCCTTGGGAACCCCAATGTTTCTACCCAGACTTCCCTCACGATATTACGTGTGGTGACTCCTGGGGTAAGTGAGCCTGCACTCTTTGGTGTGTTTGTATGCATCTGAACGTTTTATTTTTTTTCGGCATAATGATTTATCATTTTTGCCACATGGTGTATCAGTTATGACACATGTACAAAACCAGTTTGTCGTGATAACCAGAAAACAGGTGTCTCTATTATTGCAGATAACGCACGCTTTACCTGGATAATGGCGCTTGTTACCAAATGGCGTTTACATTCACTAATGTATTTTCCAAAGCAGAGTCATCAACAAAAAAAGTGAAGTACTTCGAATGCTGAGCGAAAGAGAGCAGAGAAGGTTACGCTGAAGGTTTTGTTTAATGTAATAATGTGAAGACTGTTCTGCTCACCAAACTATAGTGAATGTGCAAACTGCGCATAACAACACTTTTACATCAGCTCTTTTAGGTTCTTCCATTAGGGATAGACGCTGTTGTTAAGCGACGGGTGTGCTAAAGACTAGTACTTCAAAAATAGCTACTGTGTGCCGATACGTTTTGCCATACGTCAGTATTTTGACATTACATTTGAGGACTTAATTTCTTAGGAGATATTTACAAAGAGCTCTTACGCGACCTCGCGTTATCGATGAAACTAGAACGTGGCTTCTTCTAAACGCAGTGGAGGCAGTTTATCAGAATAGCTCACTGGGCAAGTCATTGCATAGTTCTCAGAGATGAAATTTGAAGCATCTTCAATATCGCAGGAAACAGAACGTCTTTGCGAAGTCTATCGTGAGGTAATTATTGACCAAGTTATGCAAACGCCACATACTTAGCAGGCTTATTACCGACCAATACAGTTAGTCGGTATTCAGTATAGGAAGAACGACTAACAATGTATATATATATATATATATATATATATATATATATATATATATATATATATATATATATATATATATATATATATATATATATATATATATATATATATATATAGATAGATAAAGCAGGTTTCTATTTCTGAGACATTTATTAGCAGATGAGCTGTTTTTATGTATCTCATGCTAATTCACCCATCAGGTTCAAAACGTGTAACATTGCAGCCCAAATTATCTTCGTGTTAACCCCTCGATATTCTCATTATGACCTGGACGCACTCTGGAAGCTTGTCATCTTTTCCCTGGTGATAGACTTATATTACTTAAACAGCAGCGTTTTTGAGGTAAACAACTAACGTGAGTCGGCGCATGCACAGCTAGATTCCAAAGTGTTGAAAAGATTGTCCACAGATGGTAGCAAAGTTGACTTAAATCAGCTCACCTAACTCCATTACCGGAGTACAATTTTACAGCCCCGATGGCAGTATTAATAATGGTACGGAGATTAATGTGATTTAAATATATCTTAGTAGCGATAAGATTGTTAAGTAAAAGAAAACAGAAGGAAGAGAGGAAAGAAAGATAAGCGCTACACTCACAAATGTTTACTGAGCAAGAAGGCGTCCAATAAAAACACAAAGACGTGCACCCGCGGGCGCATAAACACCAGACAACTGGGCCAGGCAGACATTGCACAGATGTCACTACCTTCAAATGACTAACACATTCGTTTCAGCAACATAGAGTGTAATGGGTGTTTTAGTGACGAAGGCATGATCAGTAGTCTGAATACAATAGCTCTCTTAATAGTTCACGAACAGTTTGGTTCTTGCTTTTGCCTATAAGATCCTAACTACAAAAAATCCTGGTTCACCATGACAATATCTTCAATGTTCAGGCATGTGCGCATTCACATCTTTACCGATATTTTTATGTTCTGTCATTTGGTCGTCAACCCATCGGACATTTTGGCTGATGCAACACTTGCCACCAGTGCACGCAATCTTTTATCCACTACAGTGGAGCATTGTCTGTAACGTTTAACGTGCTTTACTGTACAACCACTCGGAGGGAAACCCGTGTTTTGGAGGCATCATACCTGTTTGGGACCTTCTAGACACTAAAGAGAAAAATGATTTTTTCTCATACTAATAAGTTACTTTTTCACAATTTTAAAACCACCCTTCCTGCCATGAGAAGGCGCTTTGCAAACGTGAAAACGCGCAGACCAAAAACGCAGGTGGCGACGCTATCTTAAGATCCCCGCGTCCGACGTGCTGGCATGACTGCTATGTATTGTCTTCACCATTACTATCAGCATTATATCAGCTTAATTTCGTACTTAGGTCTTTTCACAGATATCTCCGCAAAGCGCTACCTCATATTTGTTCATCTGAGGTGAAACATGGAGGGGGGAGAGAAGCATCGTGACTTACCTCGCAAGCTGTTTCAGGGGAAGTCCAGAAGGATATCCCACGCGAGTCACGTATTTCATTTTTAAAAAATGTCTTTGCTGGATTCAAGCTACTGACAACTCGTATTTAAAAGCACAATAAATAAATTCCTCTCGTAGAGCACCGATTACGTGAGGCATTGGCGTTAATGGACATTCACATTAAGGTTGAAAAATCCAATTTTATGCTAATGGGCTCATGAGTTGACTCACTCAGGCTCACTCAAGTGAAGCCATGAGTCTGAGTCTTAGTGAGTCCAGCTGAGTCATATGCCGGTGCGATTGAGTCTGAATTAGTCTGGTCGAGTAAAAGTACGCTGAGTCTCAGTCCGAGTTAGTCCTCAGGGCAAAGTATACTTCTTGAGTGAGCCTTGAGTAAGCTCCAAGTATGCTCCTTTTTGCCGACCTACGGTGACGTTATGGATTTTGACAGCATCTACTGACGGCATCGACTGTGTTGTTCTCAATCAGTAAACATGAAGCACATTGTCTTCTGAATGGGACATAAACTCAACATACCAAGTTTGAGGCAATTTTGTCGAGACAATGTCGCCGCAATACGATAAATACACATTTAAATCCGTGACGTGAATCACGGATGTTTCCCCGTGTAACTTACAAATGGAACTTCTACCTTTGTGAACGTTTGTCAGGGTTAACGATCGCACGAGGGTGCCTGCTAATATTAAAAAAAAAGATGTTAATGCACACCTGCTTGCGTATTGTGGATCTTTGTGAACCGGGACTTTCTGTAGTTAGAGTCCTAGACAGCAGTAAGAACAAAAGCATGCGTGAACGTTAGAGACCTACCATGTCCACGCCATCGATCTTGCATGCGTCAGTCAAACATGTTCGCGTTACGCTTTACGCTGCTGAAATGAAATTGTTAACTATAAGGTGGTGACATTTGTTTATTGTCTGTCTGGCCCCGTTGCATGGTGTTTATACGTCTGAGCACGCACGCGTTTGGGTTAATAAAAAAAGCCATCCTCCTAAATAAACTATTGCCAGTCTGGTGCTTGTGTTTCCTTCCAGTCCTTTTTTTTTCTGTTTCCTTTCTCTTAAAGACTTGCTACTACAATATGTTTAGTAAAAGTGAGCTTGCCCGAGAAGTTAACCTTATTTACCTGACATATTTCCTTGTCTCCTCACCGGGCCGTTGGATGATATATCTACAGAGCATTCCGCATAAGTTTCAGTCCCCTTATATGAAAATTTTGTCGCCTCAGTATACCTAATTATTAAAGCTGTCAATCTGATATTTCTCTTTACACCCAGGACCATCAAATTAGTCAATCCTATCTAGCTGGGCCTTGTATTGGTGTTCTGTGTTATGATTAAAAATTCCTCATCCAGCAAACAAAGTGGCGTAACACATAGTAAACTCACACATAAAAAAAGCAGAGAAAGGAGTGAGAAAGAGTGCAGCCACAAGAACAAAATCCACGAGGCTCTGTACATTCTCAGATATAATGGAATAGCAAAGGAAAAAAAACGATCAGAAAAGAGGCACTCAATAACAACATACACAGAGAGGCACGAGAGAAAGCAAACTGCACTGCCACCCACACAGATCGATCAACCTCAATAAGCTCGGTAGTGTCTTCGCCGCTTTTGCTTCGATGAATCGTAGATATATTGCCGCGAAAGCGACCGGCTTCCTAGACACCAGTCTCCGCGCACTGGAGTGAAGTGCTCGATCACAGCAGTTGTATGCACCGCCGTCTGCCGCGATTCACGTAGCAAGCGCTTTATCCAAGCTAATTTCGCAGTGCAGTCTTCGAAAGACACCTACTCTTTCAATATGGATGAAAATTGGAGTTGACGGAAATTTTACTCGCGCAACGTTAACATTCGCACGCGAGCGGTATGCCCATCGTACGTGGGTCAGATTTGTACGCTGCATCACGCCTCGCTTGTGCGTCCATTCCTAAATGTTTTGGCAGCACCCAGAAGTTTTTGGTTCGACATAGAGGAAAGGGTGTGTAAAATTTTTTCTACCAGTTAGTGCTAGCCGTGTAGTGCGCCTGTATTCGTCCCGATTAGTGTAAGCATTTTTGCAAATTTAGAGCCTGATGACAAGTTGAAGTGTTTTTTTCTACATTATGTCAGAGGAGCTAATAGTGAATTCCTATGAGAGAACAGGAGTAGAGGGCAGGGCACTGAGGAGTGGGGGTCAGAGCACTGAAAGCAGGGCCACTCAACCTGCCTCTGGAATGCGCCGTGCTCCCGGAGGGCAGGTGAGAAGGTGACGAGTAGGGAGACCATACGACTGAAACATTCCAAGCTCCGTCATATTCTTTGTGGCGCAGCAGCAAAATACGCGTAAAATCGGTCAGCCACATATTGTTCATTCTACTAATACCTAGTATACTTATTAGGCAAACGCCCAGCTCTCATCGTAGCCATCCGTACAAAACAGCGGTGCCAAACTATACAAGGTTGCTGCCATTGCCGCCGCGCTCGCCGGCTGAAGAAGAATGTAGAGGCTGTGACGTTCAAAAACCACGTTACTCGTTGTACTGCGCCTACTCCGCTTTTCAGGCGAGAGCACTGCAAACTGCTCCTGGCTGCTCTCGGCGCAGCAAAAGCACTCCCGCTCTACCAATGGCTGACAGTGTTCCTGCACGTCTTAGACCACTGAAACTCGCCGTCTATGAAGAGCGCACTTCAAGCGTTCTTTTGAGTGCTCCTGCTCTCCCAATGGAATTCGCCATAAGAAGCTTTGAGCCCTTCGAGGGCGTCCTCACTAAAAAATGTGAGCACAGATTGGAGCGCGAACTGTTCGTATGGTCCATGCTGGCACCGTTGTGCTTCTACACAAGTGCTCTGGAATCAGAGAACGCCCCATTTCGAATTCTATTGCCAAATTAACACACAAACAAAACAGTGCTGAGCTACAATAACGGCTTGACGTAGAAAGAAACCGCGCTTCGCATTAGATAGCGTGTATCTCTGCATAGAACCTTCACTGGAGATACATACAATGGGCAGACAGTAGATACGCTTGTTGCGTCATATTGTACAAGAAGCATAAACAGTGCTCCCTCGGGGAAATCAGGGGGAAAGCTTTATCTAAGTACCCCACTGTTTCTTACTTCGTGCAATGGAGACGTCTTGAAATTCCTCATGAAGGATTCCAGAAGGGTTTATATCACAGACCACTGCTAGTGTGGGGATATGGGGACATGGGCCTTGTTTGGTATTAACAAATATGAGCCATCTCACGAAACAATCCGCTCTAAAAACGAATCGCAAGAAACTACAAGGTCAAGCAGTGACTTTCAACTTTCAGCTTTATTACAGCTTGACACGTATATTGGTTTGGGTCATGCCCTGTGACCAATAACAACTCGTACAGGGTACTGTATTTTTGTGTACGTATAAAGTGTTCCAGCCAACAAATTGAATTAATTTTTATTTGATCAAATCAACTATATATTATTAGCAACATTACCTGCAGTGTACAGTTCACTTAGCTAGTACATTTCATACACGGCGCTTAGAGTTGAATATTAAAATAACTTCCAAATAACGCATTCTAGTTCATGTGTAATTAAAGGATCCTGACGGTATTTAGAGAGTAACTCTCTTGCGGTTTCAGAGAAAGCACATAAAAGAGAAATCAAGTCCGTTCATCCTTTGTAGGCTCAAAGCTCAGGGTCGGCTGAAGCTCTCAGAAAACAAACAGAAACAGCGTAAACAACATGACCTTTACTGACCGCACTCCGAAGCGGCCGTTCCCCGTGCGTATGTCAGCTCGAGCACCCAAAACCCAGGGTGATACCCGCACCTTATAAACAACCGGGAATCACCTACGTCTTGCAAATCGAGAGTCATTAAATCATTCAATTATAGTTGCTGTTGAGAAATGCTAATGTACCATGCACGTAGCACACAGCGAAACACTGAAAAAGAAATGTGTTAGCGTGTCAATCTGAAATATTTACCAACATAAGACAGAGCAGACTGTACAGGTATACATTCTTCTGCAAACATTTTATGCATGTGTACAAACCTTCAAACACAAAAGAAGAAACATCCTATGCTTTATTTGTTTGGTCGTCATTTAATTTTTTCCAAGCACGCGAAACAAACAGAAAAGCTTTTAAAAATGTATTCACAACATGCCGTGTACGCATATAAGTAACAAAAGGGCGCAGCGGAAAATGAAAGCAATAATTTGTTCCTTTCTGTTTTCACGTTATAGTGAAACACCTTGACTAACGAGAAGGCAGAAGAGATGTGCGCCCACACACCTGTCCTTTCTACTCGTCTGTACTGGTGTCTCACTACATCGCAATAAAACGATGTCATACCAACTATAGCGCCCATCGAACCCTATATTGAAAGTATTTTGCTCACAGCAGAGATTCGCATGTCCAATGCCTCTTTTGTTTTCCAGGTAACAACAAATTGGTTCTCGGGAGCGAGTCCGGAATCTTTCTCATCGAGGAAGGTCTCACACATAGAATGATATTTGACAAAACGGTGGTGGTGAAACAAATCAGCGTGGTGGAAGCTCATGGTATACTACTGTTCAGAACAGACAGAGGTGAGTGCTTACGTAGTGCACACAAAAGAGGAAACAGTAAATAGATGTCAAAACTAAGTCCAGTTGGCTGCTGCTTCAAAGCACTTTCCTTAATATGATGTTTATGTCTGACTGCTGCTCATAAAATTAGGGGAAAAAGTTAGTTTACAAAAGTCGCCGTCACTTTACCCTTTAGCTGCCGTAAGAAAGGAAGAAAAACGTGCCAGAGTTAGCAAAAAGATTTATTTTCGCGTGATTTGCAAAGCTTTTTTTTTCTTACTAAAACTGTGCCACTTTTTTTAATTCAATTGGGTTGTTTCATTGCAGTAATCACGAAAAAAATAATTCGAAGGTGACTTCACCACGTAGCATTACTATTAAAAATACCCAGGAAATGAAAGCTTTCACAAAAATGGCCCAACATGAGCAAGTGTGGCCATCTAGCTTCAAGAAACACAAGTATGACAGGTATAGCCTTCAATGGTTCCAGGTGTGACCATTTTTTTTATGACGAGTATTATAGTCAACGGTCATTAATTACAAGAATCTCATGAACACTGCGCTCGTAAACGGTTGTGAGGGCGTTGAAACAAAGTTAGTGTTTATCGAGAGACAAAACAGCGTCAGGTATTTCGCTTGGCTTCATCACAACTGTGTACGCATCATAAAAGACACTCGGTTGTTTCGTCATAATTTTATGGCTCAGTCAATATTGCCAACTACTGAACCGTTGAAATAAATTAACATTACAAAGAAAAAAAAACTTGAGTTGGCTCTTAAGAGGACCTGAAAGACGTTTCCAAGTAATCGAACTTTATGGCCTGATGAGTGACTTCGTGGGATACATTTTTCGAACTTTTAAAGTATTACTGGAGTTACAGGATTCTTCCACTGGAGTCTAAGCACTTTTTCTCTTCTTTCTTCCCGAAGTGCGCTCTCGACGCTACTCGGCGAGCATTAACGCGCGGGACAAGTCTACGTCAACGCAAGTGACGAAGTTGGCACTTTTGCTTCACTTTTTTTTAACGTGTTCTCACACTTCTACCGTAACGAAAAATGTGCCGCTGCCACGGGGTGACCCTTCATGGCGGCTGCGGTAACTGATTAGCGATTCAAGTGCCATTTTTGTGCGGAAATATGGCTGACGTATTAGTAAGAACTGTCGTGGTCGGCAACTTTCGAGACAAGTGATTGACTAGGGAACGAAGTGGTTGAAATAGCACATGTGAAACAGATGGCATACCGCTTTACATGAAAGTAGGAGAAAACGAAACTATAAGTTGACGGCTGTTTATCAAGCAGGAAGTACTTTGATAACTAACCTTTTTTTTTTTCAGCTATGAACGTACATAGCTAGGAAAATATTCTAAGAGCAAAACAGGACACCTGTTTTGTGTCTAGTTCTGCACCTAAAAGCATTCCCTTTTTTTTTGTTTCATAAGGGAGAGACATGTATAATTCTTTTATTTATAGCAGTTGAAACAAATAACAGTAAATATCATCGCGTATGTTTTCCTATCATAAGACCAGCCAATGACTATGTCCTTCCTTGTTTCTATGCAGTCAGTCCCTTGGGCTACGTAGTTTGCTGAGATGAGAGTTAGTGACTCTTAGCTGTCTTTGAAAGGAAAAAAAATGACCGATTCTCTATTGCGTACAGTGCAATAATATTTGGCTCGCATGCTCGCAGAAGTCAAGTGAGAATATATTGAATGGCAGTGTTTCCTGACTGTGTTCGAAAAGGGTTGTAGGGCCCCTTAAACGTGCTATTTCGAGTCACCATGAAAAAATTCATGTTTTGGTCACCCGTTCTCATTGAACCGGAAAAGCGAACGAAGATTATGCGAAGGTTGTCGGTCCTGTCTGCATCGTCGATGAATCGTTCCTTCGTTCATGTTAATTCATTTTTTATTTGCCGCATTACGACTAATCTTCGATTATTATCAACTCGCGACACCCCTTATTTTTCCTCTGCTTCATTTTTTATGTTTCATTTGAGTCTAACAAAAAGTAGGCCTCTCAACCGATTCTCCGCCTGTCTTTCACTATAGCGCTAGCTGTTCTTAAATAATACCTCCGCAGGTGTGTCTACAGGGCGCCATTCCTATAGAAAAAAGAGCAGGCCCTACCCCCTCCCCTTTATTTTTTTAACGAGCTTTTTAACGGAATAAAACATGGTGGTTTCTCTTCGTCAATAAATTTTTCTTTTTCCTCTGTTTCTTTTCTTCCTACAGGAAGAGACAGCAGAGTACACGTGTTTAGACTCACTGACTTCGAAGGTGACTCGGCGGCAAATTCTCTAGTGCGCACGCGGACCGACCTCCGGGACCACAAGCTGGAGCGTACCAAAGGTGACAGACGCCTTGCTATGGCTTCCTTTTGGACATGCACGCTAGTGAATGTCAGGCAATCATTAGGCGCACATTTAGTATTGCCTAAAACATGATCAACGAAACTCATTACTACGGCTCGAAACCTTGTTTGCAAGTTGTTCTTTTGTACGTTTTTGGACACATAAAAATGTTAATGTTTAATAACGTCTACTAATAATTCCTTATTTTCGTTTTTAGCATTTATGAAGCGAGAGGGGACAGCAGGCTGTGCCATGTTTCTTTCTGTTACCTTCGTTTTCTTTAAGGTAACTGATATGGTCTTTAAAAAAAATCATTTTTTGTCTTCTACAGTCGCTTCTACTACACAGAGTACTCAAATGTTACCATGTTTTTTTTTTAGCTTTACACGCCTACATTATGAATACAGCAATATAGGCTAAAAAAATTACCTACCCCATTCAATATTTATATATATGCAATTGCGTTGCTTAACACTGCTTCCTCCCCCCACCCCCACCCACCGAAAAAACAGAGAAAGCATCCGTCAGCTTAAATAAAGCAGTCGCGTCAATCGATGCAATAGTTTCTTCAAAATGTAAAGTGGTTCATACGCTGAAAGTATTTTACTTGACGCATATGCGATTCCGTAATAATCAAAGTAAGGTATTTGTTCCAGAGCAATGCACTGACTACGTTTCATTCTCAGAATGCGTTTCCAAACTGGACGAGGCCGTAGTAGGTTGAATGGTGTTTGGTACACTTTTTCAACGCATTCAACAACGTAGATGATCGACCAAGGTAGGAGGAAAGAATTTCACGCCATCGACAGTACACAACGTCGCAAAAGAAGGCCCTTCAATTTCTACTGCATTTTTTGCGGTCAACGGGCCTTTCTGAAGACTGCAAACGAAACATCCATTCTGTGCGTGTCTTTACTATTCTTCGCGTGTGCTTTTTTTTTGGTTTCATTATTTTTCTACACCCTGTTTCTTGCCCCTATTCTCCCACTCTACAGAGCAGGGTGACAAACCGCATGCTAATATCTGATTAACCTCTAGGCCACCTTCTTTTTGTTCTCTCTCTCTCTCTTCTCTGTATAGACAGAAAGGTGAATTCAACTTCTTATTTACAGTTCAATCAGTCAATTATCTTGTGTCCATGACCAATTTTTTGGAACGGTTTTGTTTTGTTTTCGAGTTTGTTCGCTTTTTCAATTGGTTATAGCTTGACCAAAGAAAAAGAAATTGTCTGGCACTGTCATTGAAAGAAAAACGAACATGTCGTCATGACCTGCAGGATGAGGCAGTGCTGAGTTGACTAAGAAGTTTTCTCTGGCTCAACTTCAATGCGTGCGTAGCATTAAATCGTAAGCTCGAAGTCTGTCACTGTACAATAATTTCTTTCTAGCGCATTCCTGACCTGATATCAGTCACCAAAAACTTTAGTTATCAACATTCCATAAACACAAAGGCTTTTCACTTGCCTTTAGAGAGGCGTATCTTTAGGTCGCCGATCGGTTGCGAAGCCGGTTCCAGATTATCTCGCAGCTACAAACCTTGTGAGTTCTCAGTTTTCCATCAAAAGTGGTGCTAATGCACGGCGGCTCTGCGCAGGGTGCCACCTTTACGCGCTCAGCCGACCGGGTGGCTCACATCTGCGCATGGCGGCGGCCGTAGGCCGGCGGCTACTGGTGCTGCAGTGGCGCCACTCAGCCGCCTGGACCACGTGGTGCTCCGCATCAGACACTGACACCGTGGATGGCTTCCAGCTGGTGCGCGAACTACTCGTGCCCGAGGCTCCTGCGCTGCTCACGCTCATCGACAGCCCCGACAACCACATTTGCGTCGGCTACCGCCACCAGTTCGACCTAGTCAGTGAGAAGACGGGCGACGCCACCCGCCTTCACACCGTGGACGCCGCCAAGGCACACCTCGTCGCTGCACTCGACATCTACGAGGACGACGAGGCCGAGCTCCTGCTCTGCTACAACCGTGCGTACACTCCAGCACTACGTGTCATCCTGTGCGGTGTTGTATTGGGCACAGCGGTACTATGCTTGTATTTCATTAACGGGTGCTGCGGCATAATGCCAGACTCCTTCGCGAACTGATCCCGGAAAGCGTGCAGCCTATAACTGATCTTGAACGAAAAAACACCGCTAGAGCAGGACAAACACGAGCAGATACCGACACGGCGCGTGCTGTTCTAGAGCTCTTTCTTCGTTCAAAATCAATATATTCAAACCAGCCCAATTTAGGACGCTAATACAGCCTAAAGCACTTTTCATGGGCACAGTAATGCGGGTAATATGGGTATAGGTATGTAGCATCTAAAAGCCCTATTAAGAAAGCAGTTCATTATAAAAACTTATGGCTTCAGTCCACGCTGTAAAGGTGGCTGGACAGCGAAGATGGGACACCTAGAACGATTACCTATTGCGACGTCGCTTGTATTGTCTTCCGCATTAGAATCGTACAAAAGTGAGATTGCCGTTTCACCATCACCGGGAGCGATGGCCGAGGAGTGTGTCTGATTTGTCAGACTGGCCATGCATGAAAGGCCATCATGGGCCTTTGAAAGGATAGCAGGCCCAAATCACTATATTTTGCCGATACACAGTCGTCAGGCTGGAAAATAGACAATAACTTGCACGGACCACTTCACAAATACTAATGCTCAGGTAATGAAGCGTGCAACTTGGTATAAATTACCGAATAGGTCTATCAGCTATTTGGATAAATTGTTTAATAATATTTAGGTATAGTCTATGTTGATAGAAATTATTGTAGCTTGGGAGCGGATATTAAATAAGAAAATATCTTTATAAAGAAGGGTGGTGCCATGAAATGCGACATAAGATTGCGTGGAGCTACGAGATACATATATAGTACGGGACTACGGGACTTGCATACTAGTTAGGGCTTGATGGACACGAGACGGGTGTGTTTAGGCCTTGCTAAGTGTCATGATTGAAGGAGATGTTATCAGTAATGAAAGAGCTTTTCTTTCTTGCATAGACTTGATGTCCTAATAAAACTTTAATAACCTTATTTTTCAGATACCACACACTTCCAGAAGTTGAATGATGAAAACACAACAGAATTCGACTTCCAGTGGAATGCTGTGCCTGACAACATTGGTATGACAGCCCGGCAGTGTTAAAAAGCATATCTTGTATTCGACGCATTCACTCGGTGTCAATAATTAATTTTTTCCTGTATGCTGAAGTTCTAGATACGTATGCTATGAATGATTCTTTCCTAACTAAATCTTTTTTTCTGCTTATTTTATTTACAGTGTGTGTGTTTCCTTACATCATGGCCTTCACGTATGAAAGTATTGAGATTCGTCTCATCATTAATGGGAATCTCGTGCACAACATGATCATGCCGAAGCTGAAGCTCATCACTTCCAAGGTGGGCATATTTTCGGAAATTTTTATTACTGTACATCTTAACGAGTGCCAAGAAAAAAACGAAGCAATTACAATGAATACAGGTACGTCAATGCAAACACAATCACCGTGTACATCACTTACTTTGGTCCCAATACTAAAGAAAGAATATGAATGTGTGTACACAACAATTACAATGGAGCACGCAGCATATCCCGCAATCCGCCACTTTCATTTTCCTCTGCTGCCCTCAAGCATTTTGATAGTGCCGAGATAACCGGTATCGCCAGAGCGAAAGCCTCCAAAATCGAGAGGTTTTTCATGACTTATTCGCTAGGGGGAGGGTGCATGCCCCATGACATTGTGAAAAAAGGCATGATTCCTAGCTCGCAAGCCCAGTGCCAACAAAAAACCCTACAAGCCATTAAAAAGTGCCCTTTGGGGCCGATCTACCGAACACTTTTACGGGGAGAGGTTTTTCAGTCTGTGCAGAGATCATTGTGTTTCCTGTGCTGTATGTATAGATTAGTGCTAAATAAAACGTCTTACTGTCGCATTATGGCTCTGTGCTTGGTAAACGTGCAAGTATTCGGGAACACGTTGCCGGATTACCTGCGACTCAGTCGGGCTTGCTGTGCTTGAGGTAGGTCAGGGGCTAGACGAAATCATTAAGGAGTATGAAAACGGCTTCTGGTATAAAATGTGCACACTCACGCATAGTAGTATGTGCCTATGTGTCAGCAAGTGAACTTTGCACTCGTTCCGCATATGTTCTTCCACTCACTCTCCATCACGACTCAAGAAAGCGGATGGAAGCATCGTTCTTCATGGGAGGTGTTATCCAGGCAGGCGCTTAGCCAAATACCAGGGGACCGATTGACACTGAGTGACCACACACAAAAAAATGAGGCTGTGCAGGGTGGGTTGGTATTCTTATGAAGTGAGAAAAGAGCTGAGCAAAATTAGTTTTGAGAAAATGACTTGGGAATACCTGTTCACGTCAACGCAAACACGGAATAGAGGTCAAGATTAAAGGAGCACTGGCATCAAATTTCGGAATCGAGATGTGCCTTTCCTGCGATTGCTCGGAGTGTGTAGGTAGTCTTGGCCAAATTTGAATTGAATCTGTTGCTTGGAAGTTATTTTCTTTCGACGGCAAACAGCGTACGAGAATTTAATGAAAATGGAATGCCCTGTGGCATCGACACTAGTTCTACGTGTTCGGTGTGATAGATTCCACACATACCATCCTGAGTGACGATGCCCTATGACGTGTACGATCCGATTGTTCTTATCGTGCCGCCGACTGGTGCCGAAGCCTGGAAACGCACTCGCTCGTCACGTCTGATCTTCTTAGCACCACTTTGAATGATTTCGTTAAATTACCAAGATGCAAAGAACCTTTAAACGAACGGTTAAAGAAAAGAGCATGATTCAACGTGTGCTTGTCGATGAGCATGTCGGGGAACCGTTGTGAGTTGCAGTCGTTTCATTCGAAGCGCGGAAATAGCGAAATGAGGGTGTCTTTTTATATCACGTATATGTTACACGCCAACAAGACCACAAGCTATCAAAGTGGAACAGTGTAGATACCATCGCTAGCAAGTAACATGAAGGTATGGTTGAATTTCTGTAGACTTCTTCGTCTGCGTAATACCAGGTTACTGCCGCCACAACATCGAGAGGCTGGATAGGTGGAGGGGTCATCTGGAGGCGCAAAGACGAACCTGGAAAGCAGGGAACGTATTCTATTTCACCAGCTTACCTTTCATTGCCCCTTTCAAACGCTAGGCCGAGGAGTGGTGCAGCGTCTTCATGCGTGGTCCTATCACACCGACCCGTACATCTCGAAGCCAACCCGAGCGGAGTTCGTCTTCACTCGAGCAATCCGTTTTTTTTGTGCCTGAATGTGAGAACAACGCAGCATCGTCTTGAGGGCCCGTGTCTCTCAGTGGCATGTCACCGTGAATTCCTTTCGCCCACGAAGACAGGCTCACGGTGCCATTTGTGTTGTACTTCTTGCCTGTGGCGTAGATAAGCTTCGTTTGCTTTCCCGACGCCCCTTTTTACGGGCTCTGTATTGCGTACGAGCTCGAAACTTAAAGCGTGATATTCACACTGAAAGCAAGACTCACAAAATGAGCGTCCAGTATACACATCACAAGCGCAAGCAAATGTCACAATTCTTACTTCATCGTGTGCGAGCAGCGTGCTCCTTTCGTGGACACAGCCGCGGCAGCGAGGGAAGTCACCTTCGTGCTCTCTCTAATGACGAGCCTTATAAGCGGGTGCGCAGGAGAGACCAGGCTGTGTGGAGGCGGCACTGATCGAAACGCTAGAGGTGACGACCTTGAAAGCGCGCCCAACGCGAGACCTTCGCGCCATCTGGCTACTGATGACAAAAACGTGCTGAAGGTACGAAGCTCTCAGGGCCCCTAAATGCTATATGGATGGCTTGCCGTTAGCACTCTTGACAATGTACGCTCCGTGGCCTAGTGGATAGCACTGCACGCTGTGGGAGGAGAGGTGGCTTGTTCGATGCCCCGTGACAGATCCTTTCCTTCTCGATTCAGGGGCGAACCTCCTTTAGCCGTGGGTCGTGCGTCTCCAGTGTAAGTAGTAGCCACATCTCGTTTTAGTCCTTGGAATGTCCGCTGGGTGGCGGTACTTGTATATGATGAATATATGATGAAAATATGCGAGATGGTGGTACTTGGCGTGTTCACTATAAAGACGGACGGATTTACAGACATACAGACAGACGAATATGCGGATAGACAGATTGACAAACGGAAGGACGGATTGACGGACAGATAGACGTACAGACAGATGCATAGGTAGATGGAGGGACGGACGGACAGACAGAAAGACAGACAGACAGACAGACAGACAGACAGACAGACAGACAGACAGACAGACAGACAGACAGACAGACAGACAGACAGACAGACGGACGGACGGACGGACGGACGGACGGACGGTCGGACGGACGGACGGACGGATGGACGAATGGACAGACGGACAGGTGGAAGCACGAACACGGCCAACGGATGATTCACAGTTTACCCATAAAACTCTTCGAAGCTTTGCTCTACTCATCATCGTTCACTTCGTGAATACACTGTGATTTTTAGTGGCGAAGCCACTTCCGCCGTGGGTCGTATGTCCCGTGTCGGTGTCGTTGTAGCCGTCGTAGTAGCCAGTTGGATTGCATGTCCATAAAAACGGTGTTATAGCATATCCACGGAGTGAATGATGATGAGTGGGGCTAAGCGTCCATCAGTACATCCGTGCTTTCGTCCGTGCGTCTGTCTGTGCGTTCGTTCATGCGTCCGTCCGTCCGCTTCACCCCACTCGTCATCACTCACCTCGTGTATATTCAGTGATTTTTTCTTCTCAATCTGTTTAAGTATATTTACAATGTCATATGTGTGACGGAAATGCATCAGTGGGGCTGTGGTGGACCCCGGCATGAAACATTTTTGTGTTAAAAAGATAAACAACAAAACCCATCAAACTATGCGAACGAACACAATGTCGTTTTGTAATGCAAACGAGGCGCACTGAGGCTGATACACCTCAGACTCTCGAGAGACGCTTCCTCGACAAAGAACGCACGAGCGGCGTTACTTCGAGACAGCTGCAGCGCAATTATGCACACTTAAAGGAAGCAACAAATGTTTTTTTTAACCAAGTTTTCCCAGCGCGACCGAAAGCTTACTCTTCGTAGTGTTTGTAGCTGCAGTAGTTATTTCTAAAACCACGTAGTTATTTTATAAGCAGTAATTTTCGTTCGGAAAGGTTGTGAACACGGGTGTGACTTTGAGTTATCGCTATCGATTCTCAGCAACGCTGAGAATCGATAGCGATAACTGTAGCCCTTCTGATGACTTTTGCATGCTGTCCTTGTTCAGCTTTTGCAGGAGTTCTATATGCTTAACAACGCTTATTTCGAGCTTCACAACTAGTTTTGACATAACAAGCCGTTACAATGAGATTATTTGGCTTTATTGAGCTTCCCTGTGTTTACACCACTTTGCGTGCGCCTACCGCAAGGTTGTTACGCCTGTGGTCGCTACTCTGTCAACACATGAGACAAGCCAATTCACTAAAAAACGTCCCTGAACATATGCGCAGCCGTGCCAAATAACAGTGCATGTCATTTCTGAGACAAAGTGTAGGTAGAAAAAACACGTCCCTCCAAAATCTTAGCGACCTGAATACAGCCTGCATGGTTTCATGAGCAAGCAGAAATGTTGCTCAAGACACGGTGACGAGAATGAGAGCATTACATCGCGCAAAGGCAGTGTCACTTCAATGCGTACCTCTAACACAGGCCGATATGTACATTTTTTATTGAGTAACATTTATTACTATAAATAGCAAACAATATTTCAATACTAACAAGAAAATTACTGATCGCGTAAACTAATATATGGCCACATGAGAGGGAACATCAAACAATTGAAGTTTCGGCCACCAGGTGGCGCCACAGAAAATTGTTCGCGATTATCAAAGAAGAAATAAAATATAACTCCACTTCTCACAAGAGAAACAGAGTTGGTTTGAGTCACCATTAGCAACGATCTCTCCATCCATGCAGTCATCTCATTTCATGTTCTGCGCAGTTGTCGGTCCCTTTAAAGAACTGATATTCTTTTGGCGTTAACTTACCTGGCATATTCTAGCAATGCTCGACACTGACTAATCGCATCTCATTCACGAAATTTATTGCACTCGCCATATGTCTCCTGATTGTGCGCACGGTACGTAAAAAAAAAAGCTTTTGTACTCTCACTGCGATTCCTTCAGTAGGTATAGGTGCACGGTATCCTGTCATATTTTCCTGTAAAAGCAAGTGACAGGCACCAAACATGAAGAGATGTGAGTCAGAGCGAGTAACAACACATCCATCGAAAACCTGCTGCGTGAGGCACACCCCATCAAAATATGCGACGTCCTGATAGCGATGGTGCTCGAACCGATGCCGCTTAAACAAGGAACGATGCTGCATGAACTGCAGAAGGTCGGCTTTTCTGAAGCTATTCGGAGTTCCGTGCGACGCCACTTGGCGAATGGCAGTGAAGCGGCGTCGTATGGCGCAACTCTGGCTTCTAGAGTAAGCCATATGCAGTAACTCGAGGACATATATGCTACCGTATGCGCCGTTCATGCGACGGAGTTGGGTCGTCCCGTTTTATATCTGCTTCAGCCATATTTGTCTACCCAGCACGCACGCTTTTACTCGTGAGTAGAGCATACGATGCGCGGAGGGGGTCTTAACAATTTGTACATTTATACGGAACGTGACGATGACAATAAATCTGATGGCTAAAACCCGTTGATAGTGTTCATGTAATTAGTATCAAACTAAAAATAAATAAACCATGGAGATATATTGGCATGAGGGGTTTAACCTCCCAAAACCACCATATGATTATGAGAGCCGCCGTGGTGGAGGGCTCGGGAAATTTCGACCACCTGGGGTTCTTTAACGTGCACCCAAATCTGAGCACATGGGCCTGCAACATTTCCGCCTCTATCGGAATTGCAGCCGCCGCAGCCGGGATTCGATCCCACGACCTGCGGGTCTGGAACCGAGTACCTTAGCCATTAAACCACCGCGGCGGGGCTAAACCATGGAGAATAGTGGTATATAGTTACACGCTCCTCAGGCTTTCCATGAACACATCGTGTGTGAAGAAAAGAGTAGTTTACTAACAATCTTTTGGGGGGAAAATAGCTTAACAAAGCAGTAAAATTTACGACTTTTGCAAATGGTTCACAGGGTAAGCACGCTCTCTCCAGGCCTAAGGAGAACGCAGAATGTTCGTCGGTATCCACGCATGTTTTCCCCTTATTTACACAAAATGACTGGAATTCGTAAACTTTACGCAAGTGTTCTTCGTACCTTCAAAAGCTGTTTTTACAGTATAATTACACATTGTGAGCACGAATATTAACTTTGGGGACAACGTGAAAGAATGTTTAGTTGCTTTTCTTTCTTTTATTTCGTTTTGCCTGTGAACCTCATAAAATGCACATTACGCATAGTCTCAGTTACAGCATGCAGCAAATAATTTAACGCAGGTTTCATAGCGGGATTCTATCCACCAATCATTGAAACATACATTCAGAGTGTGAGTAATTAGTGCGTTTCGCTAAGCTGCACTCTCATCATATCGCCATTTTCAGAGTGACATCTTTTTCGTGAGCACCGCACCGGAGTTCTTTCAAGTTCGGAAAGAGCGCATCAAGGAAGACCGCATGGAGCGCGATTCCAGCGTGTCCCCTCCATCATCGCCCCATTGTGAGTGTGCGTGTTGACTTTTTTTGTCGTTTTGCTTACGTAGTGCTATGGACGTTTCAGTGATCATTTCGTATAAGGTGCAGACCAATGCGCTGAGAATAAAGCTACTTTTGTGTGTCTGTCTGTAGTCTATATTGTTGTGGAAGCTGTCGTTTCTTTTTCCTTAATTTTTCGCACATACTGAGCATTTCATCGCAATAGTTTTGAACGTGGCTTATTCTTTATTTTTTTTAAATATTCTCGAAATTGAGCTGTTCGGTCCAAGCAGATTTCTCAAAATTAGCCCTGTATATAAATTCTAGGTGAGCTAGAGCACTAGTTCATATTTACAGTTTAATTATTAGAGTGACAATGAAGTGTCGCTCATTTGAAAGATCCAACAGTTTGGTGTTTGCTGCATAACTTATCTTTCCATCTTCTGAGCTCTCAAGTTATGTAAGAATTATATATGTGGCCAAATGCGAAAGCAACGTGGTTAATAAAAATATATAATGCGTTTTGAAGATTGGTGCAATTCAGGCATATGCGTCGTGAAAGGACCTATTTCACCAAATAGCTTTGCAATAAATACACGTGAAATAAGGCTCCATACGCTTGTCTAAAGTATAAGCTTAACATGAAGGTTGCAGTCATCCTCGTGAAATCTCGTGCACGAGGTGCAGAACATGACAAATTTGGTTGTTTTAACTTGGGCGTCTTGAAAAAAACTGTGCATATTCAGGATTTTTTATACCTCCTTTTGCCACTTTTGAAACTCTCTCGCAATGCCGCAGCGCAGTGAAGCTCAACCAAGAGATTGTTGAAAAGGAACGTTTCAAATACTCTATATTCAAACTACTCTCTCTTAGCAACATTGCTCATTTTCTCACTTTTAGTAATGCGAGTATTTACAAAAATTAGCTACCGCTTCCCAGCCACGTTATAGCACTGCTTTGTTTCTAGTCTAAACATTGGCAGCATGAAATTAGCGACAAGGTGTCGTGAATACATGCGTTGTTAGAAGGCCATGCCTTGTCGACATTGCTAGCTGACACTTATTAGAGTTTAAGCGACCTTTTCAAATCTCGCAGTTTCAAATTTTGCTTGTAAAATTACACCGAAGAGTTGCGGTGACGTTCGACGTATAGCTTAAGGGGTTATGCTCAAAACCTTCGGACACGTCCAGTCAGACACAACTTTTGAAAAGATGACACGAAGTTTGTCATGCGCTAAATCTTGCATGACGTTTCTTAACACGTGTGTAACTTGCCAGCTGTTCAACGCTTTTATTGACCTACGTGTGCTCCTCATTCCGTTACAGCGACTGGTAGCACGGGCTCCAACGACGGTGCAAAGCCGCTGCGAGTGTACCGCATATCGTTCAGTTGCCTGACTGGCAATTCACCTTGCGAGAGGCGGGTACCGACACCGTCTTTGCCGTCACCACAGCCCTTACTTGCCACACCGTCCTTCGGGTCGTCTTACCTGTCACCCGACTTTCAGGTAAGCTATATGCACACCATACCTGGTAATCGATTATGTGGAGTTTAACGACCCAAAACCACGATATGATTATGAGAGACGCCTTAGTGGAGGGCTTCTAAAATTTTGACCACTTGGGGTTCTTTAACGTGCACCCGAATCTGAGCACACGGGCATACAGCATTTTCGCCTCCATTGAAAATGCAGCCGCCTCAGCCGGGATAAGATCCCGCGACCTGCGGGTCAGCAACCGCGCACCTTAGCAACTAGACCACCACTGCGTGGTTACCTGGAGATCGCAAAATATAGTTTGAACAATGCCCTGAGCCTCAGAGGTCCGTAATAGTTTTGGCCGGGGTCAAAAAATCGCCACATTGCACCGTGTTTGCCAACGTGGGAAGTGAAGATGAAAAAGTAGGACCATGAAAAAGAAAGAGGGAAATGTGTTGTTATGAGCAATTACGTGAATCAGCATTCTGCGACCACTTGGCTTGCTGTCTCATGGTGACATGGAGTTTCTACTTTTTCTTTTCTTGTCACAACCATTAAACTAGGTAGACTCGTTTGCTCATTTACAGAAGAGAATACCTTATCTACAACACGCTTCAAAAGAACGGGCTTACTCAATATCCGACGCATTTACTGAAACATTACAGTGATAAGCATTATGTTGCCTAAGTCAATCTAATATTTCACGCTTTTAACTTCTGCAGTATTCCTCACGAGCCCTTTATTTATGAAACAGCGTAGTTCTCAGTAGCAAGCAATAACAACAGCCATTCAGGATGAAAAATTCCTGATAACGGCGGTCGTACTTCTAGGGGATAAAATAAAACAAAACCAGCCTACTTAGTGGTAGACAAAGAATAAAACAGCGCTAAACACGGGACGAGAAGAAGTCACATACTCGGTGGTGAACTAAAGGCCGAGTTTTGTTACAAAAGCTCAGCAATATATAAAAAAACAGGTATCTGCGCAGATGCACGAAACGCAGGCAGAGAACTGAACGCTGGGCGAGTTGGTAATCTATAACTACAAAAACTGCGCGAAAAAGGGACAAGAAACAGAAAAGGCGCACACACAAGCGCAGACTAGCAACTGAAATTTTATTGAAGGAAAGACAAATATTTGTGTTTCCTTCAATAAACGTTCAATTGCCAGCGGTGCTTGTGTGTCTGCCCTCTCAATTTCTTCTCTCCTTTTTTGCGTAGTTTTTGTAGCTACGTAAGCGGAAATGCGCAACATCTTGTTTCTTGTATTAGGGCACCCTCAATTTCGCTTTGTGAAATTATATACCTGAGTGCATCAATGTGGCAGTTTCTTTATAATGTTTGCTGTAGGGCCCTTGTCACACGTATCCCTATTTCTGCGTCTGTTTCATCGTTCAGCGCAGATGCCCGTTTTCTATAATACTGCAGTTGTTTTGCAATAGTGCTTGACTGTTAGCCCAGCTCCGCGTGATGTGCCTTCTCACCTTATCTTTAGCGCTGTTTTATTCATCTACCATGCAGCACCAACCAGCCCCATCAATCACACTGTTACAATCTACACAGATTTAGGTGAACGTGAAATAAACCCAGGTGGCAAAACATAAATCTCTATAGCCTCCGCTTACAGCTCGAGTAATACTTAATATTCTGGTATGAGAAGGCCTTTTACTTTAACATTTATGCTGGTGTTTCCAAATAGACTACGTTGGTTCTGAATCAACTATAAGAACGAGAACTGCTTATTAGTTAAGAAAGCGATAGCATATTACTGCACCTTCAAAGCGGTATAAAAGGTGGGCTATTCTTTTATAAATTATTTAAAACGCCATTCGAGATGGTACAGTGGTTATGGTGCTCAGCTGCTGAACCGAAAGTCGTGGGTTCGATGCCGGCGGTGATATTCACATTTCGATGGAGGAGGTGTGCTATACAGTCACGCGTACTTAGATTTAGGCGCGAATTAAAGAGCTCCAAGTTATTGGAACTTCAGGAGACTTCCACTATGGCGCAGCTTGTAATGATATCGTCGTTCTGGCAGGTAAAACGCAAGAAATACTTGTATAGCACAGACTACTCCTTCTTGCACATAGTATAATTCGTAAAAACCACAGCAATGAAAAGAATTGCCTCAAATATGCTGTCGATGCATTTCACGTAAGTCATAAAAGTAACACAAATAGTCACATAACAAGAAGTTCACTTACGCAGCAGCGACCAAGCAGAAAAAGCCGGAAACATTACTGTTTTTGAACATTTTTTTATTTTGGTGTTACTTCTTTTCCTTTTGTCATCAAGCCTTTTCCCGACCAGACGACTATTGGGCGACAAACAAATTTTATCAAGCCACACAAGGAACCACAAAAATACTGTAAAAATGCAGTTTCAAGAACAGCAAATATACTTAAAAAGTGTCACTGATAATGTACAGTCACATAACACCAAAATTTGCAAAGGCCAGTGACAGGGACACGAAACAAGTTTACGCAAGAAGTGACACGAAAAGGAAGAGGTCGTGTTTGGTCGCTGTGTACGTGTGCGGCTGTTTTTTAGATGCGGAAGCATCTTATACTCGCGCCTTGTAGTGCGCCGTCCGCGCCGTCCGCGCCGTCCGCACCGCTTCTCGAACATTCGACAGCTGACGCGCGCGCATGCGCCGTCGCGCCGTCGCCCACTCTTCCACCATCTGTGCATCCCTTCCTCCTCTACACACCGCGCGCGCTTCACTCCTCCACCATCTGTGCACCCTTCTTCCTCTACACACCGCGTTCGACATCTACAATTCTCCTGATTCTCCAGTGGACGCGCATGTGGCGTCGCGCTTCGAGAACATTCAACAGCTGACAGTGCATGCGCCGTCGAGCTGTATATATACTCAAGGTCGGCGCTCGCTCGCTCAGTTGCCGCTCGTCGGTTGGTTTGTACGGCGCGTCGACGTCCAAGGTCGCGCTGAAATGAATTCCAACGAATCCACAAACACAATGATCGACGTCCCTTCGACCAGCGCCGCCCTTTCGCATACGTGTGTACGTGTTCACTCATTTAACACCCCCTCCTACAACCACGTTAACCAATTTAGCCATCGACCCAAGTAAGTCGCAATTTAACACCCCATTTCACAACCACGTTAACCAATTTATCCATCGACCCAAGTAAGTCGCACTTTAACACCCCGTTAACCAATTATATGCTCCGCATCCTCCTCAGTGTTCCCCCGAGGGAAGCTGCGGCAATTTTTTTCTCCGACTTTAACGCCGGTGTCAAGTTCTTCTGCGGTGTACTAACAAGGCGCCGAGTGAAGACTCCGCGGTACGATTGCCCTAAAAGTACGACGTCTCTTTATTGACGACTTGGATAATACGCTACCAGTATACGGTGGTACGCATTCATCGCCACGAGCCCTATGCTCGTTCAAGTATGTCTAGCCATTTGAGTGATGCTACAGAACATAATAGAAAACCTGAAGGCTTACAGATCCGGCAAAACACCTTCTTATGCTGTCGAATGTAGATGGACTAGAAGTCAAGCCTTTTTTTCCAGAGTCATACACGCGAAACCTTAGGAAAGTGAAACATGTCCATCCGCAGTCCTCAAACGAACAGCTGTTAGAGTATTTAAAAGATGCAGGGGGTTGGTCACCAACGTGTCGAATAATGAGGTATTACCACCAGGAAGATCGAGCAATGACCTCGCGTCCACTTCACACAGTGATACTGACTTTCCGAGACGACCACCCAATTCCAGGAAGACTTTACTTAGGATTCACGAGTCATCTAGCGGATGAGTACCTTGGTCCAGCACTTCAGTGTTATAACTGCAGCGATTTGGACACATTGCGAAAAGTTGCTGCTGCACACGTCTATGCAAGATTTGCTCAGAAGACCATCACCACAAGGATTGCAAGTCGGTAATTCAGCCTAAGTGCGCGAACTGTGTGGGCTATCACGCTGCCTCCTACTCAGGCTGCCCGCAAAACGACGCCGCTGCACAAATGAGACGACATGAACTTATCGATGGAAGGCAACCGCGCCGCAACGAAGTCTCTACAAATCTTGAAATTGTTCACCCAGTACGAGATCGTCTACCTCAGCGCACGCAGCAGCCACCTCATCAAAGAGACTCATCAAGAGATCCACAAAGAGTACCGCCCCAATACCAAACAAGGGCAGAAAAGTCAAGTACTCCTACTTATGCTCAGTGTTGTGAACACGCGTGAGGCATCAGGCAGAAAGCAATGCACCCGAGAGCTCTAATGTTTCTACAAGCCATGCGAATGAAACATCGTGTACTTCTCAGCGACCATATGTGAAAATACCAACGAACACCAACGGTACCAGTACATCAGTGGCAGAACTGATTCTGCAAATGCTTTTCACCGCTATTAGGGCAATGCTGTTTCCACTGCCTGAAGCGAATAACCAGCAGAAGTCAAAGTCCCATTGCCTCTGGAAGCCCTATTGTGCCAACAATCCAGGTTAAGCCTGCGAGAAGCCTGTAGTATATGAACACCCACTACAAAAATGAATACCCGCTACGAAAATGTCTCCATAATCCAGTGGAATACCAACAGTCCTCGGAGGAAGTGTGCTGACTTTCGTGAACTACTTGTACAGTTAAACTTTCGAGTACTTTGCATTCAGGAGGCTGGAATTATTGACAATTTTCTCCCCTCGAGCTGTGTGATATACAAGTCATCTCTTCAAGGTGGAGTCAGCAGTGTGCACCTGTGTGTCAGAAAGGAGCTACCATCTTAGCAAGTTTAGTCAAGCTATTCTGACTTTGCGTAATTCGTCGCATGTAAGGTATTGTTTGGTAATCTGTGCATAACAGGGATTAATATTTATCTATAACTTTGAAGTCGTATTTCCATGGAAGAGTTAGTGGGCATCTTCAAAATTTCTAGTCTTATATGCAGAGACTTGAATGCAATTAACGTTATCTGGGGCAGTGATCAATCTGATGCACGTGGTAATGTTGTAGAGAGCGCTATAGACAAGTGCAATTTGACAGTTTTAAATGACGCATCACCAACATTCTTTCGCGAGTATAATTCTTCAAGCTGTATAGATATAATATGTCCACCAGGTCTGGTGAAAGGCAATGGATAATCAACGGATGTAGAAACACGTGGAAGGGGTCATTTTCCGTACCTTGTAAATCACTCTAGCATGTGGACTGATACAACAGACTGACGAATTGAAAAGCCTTCGTTTTCGCCTGATTAGTCAGCTCATTCTGCATGCAAGTGTTGAAGAATTCACGCACTTTTGGCAGGATGGTCAAAACATATGCACAAAGAAGGTTCCGATTCCGAAAGATTACGCTGCAGTTGACGGAGAATACGAATGCTTCAGAGCCATCAGACGCCGGTCTGAAAGAGCGTACTGATGAAGCGGTACCTTAGAAGAACACAAAAGTGCTAAAAAATTCACAATGCCATGCGTCCACGCATGGAAAGTTTATGAAAACGACGCTGGTGTGGTTGCTGCAGCATGCTTTCTTCTCACACACTTGTTCCGAGAATATGGTTGATATTTCGAGCATTCAACGATCCTTCCCATTTCGTGCCCTCGCTTTGGCTATAGACACACGGAAGATAGTAATGGCAGGTGAACTTTGTGAGCTCATTGATCACATGGCGCTACATCAGATTGTGCAGCATTTAACAATTATTTTGCAATGAAAAAAACAGAAACTTAATGCTTGTTTTTGGGGCCAACATCTTCAACTAAACTCCACATTTGTTTTAAGCGAGCTGCAATGTGCAATTGCTTCATGTCGTCAAAAGTCTGCTGCAGGGCCTGACGGCATTACTTAACATATGCTAAGAGACCTTGGGTCAAGAGGCAAAATAGTTGTTTTAGACATCTATATTAATGTATGGACAGAAGAAACTGTACCGCCACCTTAGAAAGTCACTTGAGTTGTTTCGATTCCAAAAACTGGAAAGACACCCTTGTGCCTTGCGTCTTTTTGTCCAGTCAGCTTGATAAGCTGCTTATGCAAAGTAATGGGGAAGACTATTTACGTGCGACTTGAGTTGTAATGCAACAAAACGAATGTGTTGTCCAACTACATAACAGGTTTCTGAAAATAGAGATGCACAATAGATGATATACTAGACGTAGTAACATATGTGGTACACCAACGTGGTTTTGGTAACTAGACAATCACAGTATTTTCGAACATAAAAAGGGCGTTCGATACCGTCAGTCACATTCACGTTCTTGTAAGTATGTTGGAACTCGTAATTTGTGGCAGGTCCTTGCGATTGATTTCTCAGTTTTTATTAGGTCGCAAAATATTTGTCCAGACACCTGAAGGAAAGAGTGCAGAACACGATGTCAAGCCGGGAGTGCCACAGGGAAGTGTGCTTAGCCCCTTTCTATTCAACTATGTCATGGCTGACTTACCAAGAAGACTGCCATATAATTTACATTTCTAACTGTATGCAGATGATGTGTGCATTTGGATATCTAGAAGTACTGTTGAATTCAGAGGACATTACAAGAGGGCATTAATAACATAAACAACTTTTTAATCGAGGGAGGGAAGGCTCTGTCACATACAAAGACAGTCATGTTGCCCTTCACCCGCAAGAAGTTAAAGAGTTTCAACCTTAGTCCGGAAAGACAGCTTTTAGAGATTGTGACACACCATCGATTTCTTGGAATAATCCTTGATCTGCTATCAGGAGCACCCCGCATAAAAGAAACAACTTGAAAGCGATGTTAATTCAGTAGTGGATATACTTGGCAGAATCGCTGGCATGTCATGGTGTAGAATAGTATTGTCTCTACTCACCATGCGCAATGCTCTAATAAGACAGAAGACTGCATCCTCTGCGGCAGTCCTACATGGCATTTCACCCACGTCGGAACAAGGACTTCTAGCCAGGGGATTACGCATGTTTAAGAGTTCCACAAATGACTTCGAGTTCCCTTGTAATAGCGGAGGCTCGCCAATCTTCGTTTAAATTCATGAAAAGTAAAGCACCATGTCGGCATTTTTTCACCTTCAGACACTACAAAAAATCATCCATTGGCTCTGCAGATATTGCAGAGGAACAGAAGCACTGTTACAAATGAGTTCTGCCAAAACCCGCAAGGTGGTGAAAGGGTTAAAAAAGAGAAAGAAGACAACCACCCACTTGTAGCACGATGCTTTAATGAAATCCACGTGAATTTCTCATAAAGAGATCTCTTAGTCCGTAAAATTCGTCCTAGTCCGGCGCTCGAACCCAGGTCCAACGCCTTTCTGGGGCGATCACTCTACAGTTGAGCTAACCAGGAAACAAGCAATTGACAGTGCGGGGTGTTGCGACCGGGGTTTGCAGGCACCGGAGGTTCGGGATGAAGTTGTCGAGGCAGGAGGAAGAGAGACTTGAAGAGGGTTTGTTTACATTAGGTACATAGTGAGCTCTCGTACATGACGGCCTCTTTCTTACATGGCAAGCTCTCGAATCTGGCGTTCCTCTACATGGCGCTCCTTCGAATGAGCCGGGTGGCTCATTATAAAGGGTATGTTCTCCCCAGATCCCTAGATCAGGGAACACGTGCAGAGGTTATTGTCCAATCACAAATCACCACAGCCGGCGAGGGTGAAGAGCATGCAAGGCCCACGGGAACGTCCAATATTGAGGCGTGACTCTGCAGTCCAAGGTGGCGCCAGTGGGGCTATTCCTCGTCGTGTGTGTGCCGCTGGTCGAGGGGTCCCGAGGTCATGACAGCATACTTCAAAAGGTCCGCCGAACTGCTCGCCTATTTAGCGGGGTTATTAGCGGCGGCTGCCACGGTCTCTTCCCAGGAAGATGCTGTATTTGTTGTTCTCTCTCGAACGGCTTATGGCGTTGTGGTGGCACGACGCCTCACCCTTCGGCTTGGAGGGACAATAACTGGCGGGCATAGGCAGCTGGCCGTTCGGTTACTTGTTTGAGGATCAAAAGAGCGCTGCTCCCTCGTCAGCTCTGGCGCCATTCATAACAGTGGATGGATTCATCAACTCGAAGCACATGGATGCAAGTACTTTATGAGTTTTGCGGAAACCGCTGCGGTGGCTACATGGTTGGAGCGTCCACTTCCAATGCGGGAGGTGCCGGGTTCAATTCCCAGTGCCGACCGGGAACCCACCAGTTTTTTTCGATGGGTACAGGAGTACATCCGACATGGTGCTCGATTGTATCTGGGTACTCATCTCGAAAGGTAGCCTCATAAGGTTCTGCGAAGACCCCTGGGGGTACCTTCACCCGCCACAGCCTTGGTGAAATAGGTGAGCATCCGCCGCTGCTGTGAGAGGCAGAGAATTGCTGTTGCCAGATACCTACTGGCTAAGTAGGTACAAGCACACTTCCGTCCTGGTGATCGTCAGAAAGTTGTAGTCGCTTGGGAGGGCCCCCACTTCGCGAGAAATTGGCGGAAGGGGCCTTCAGACCTAAAATGATGGTCATGATTGTTCTTTTTTTGAAGACTATTCAGTTTAAGTGAACTCTTGGGTCTTTGCTCAACAAGAAGTTTGCGAAAGAATGTATTAAATGTATAAAAAGTTTTCTTGAAGACAGTGGAATTTGTGGCCAATATATTAGTGCTTTTTTTCTTTTTTAACGTGACAACCATATTCATGTGATGGTAGACTATTATGTTGACAATTATGTGGGTGTGGACTGTATGTATAGGTTACTCTTCTGTTTGTTAACATCAACGCATATGTACATACATGAGATGGTTACATACGTTGTTTTGAAATCTCATGTCCTGTTATATATTGTATATCGTGTTGTTACAGTTGCATATTGTATGTACAGGAGACTTGTTGTGCTTATAGACTTGAAACCTATACGTGTTGCATTTTATACACCACTAAATGTTAAGGAGTAGCCAGCGCATATTTTGTGTGCCAACATCTCCTTACTTCACGACAATAAAAAAACATGGTTAGGTCAAGCTATATACATAAAATTTGCCAGGCTTTTTTTAATCATTTCCAAGCATAACACTCGCTCCTAGAAAGTTGTTTATTGCTAAGTGCGTCTCTTTTTGCTAGGTATGTGTTGGTCGTGAACTTAAGGTGTGATTCTTGAGGCTGAACAGTGTGATTACGTCTCGTAGCAGCCGTTCCCTTCTATCGTCGTATGGGGGGCATTTTAATCAAATACGTACATTCTCATCCACGTGACCTTGTATTTTGCGACCAGGGAGGTGTTTACGGTAACATCCGAAATTGTAATTCTTGTGTCCTTACAGGAAGGGTCGCGTTTGCGGCCGGACGTGCGTCCGAGCCGGAGCGCGACCGCATCACCCGTGCCCCAAATGCCCCTCCTGCTGCCCGGATGCCGATCGGTGTCGCCCAGGCGCCCGGGACTTCACAAGGACCACACGCACTCCGCGAGCTCAGACTCGGGCCTGGGCAAGAGCGTCAGCTCTAGCCCTCCCCCCAGTCCGCACAACCACGCCTAGCGCCACGCCTCCTTGGGCTGCGCCACACATCCCTGCGATCGAGGCTCCTTGCTGGCCGGGGCCCGGGCAACAGACACGTCGGCGTCTGTTCATCCTTCATTCCTCTTTTCATCGAGACACTCGAAGTTTTCCCTTACGCGATTAACAATACGCGTGTTTACTTGTACTAGACGTGAAGCGCTGAGCGGGGCTCACTTTCCCTGCTCCAGACACGTATCGTGGACGCCAGCTCGGGAAGTATGTGCTTGGGGCTTGCTAGTCTGCTGTTCGATTCGTTTCACGCCACTGGAGTGACTTGTAGCGTCGCTGCTTCATTTTAGTGGTGTCCACCCAGATTTTGTCTTGGTTGCGTGACAGATTTGCGTTCCGAAATGTAGCCTTCTTTTTTTATATTAGCACCAAGCTCTGGCAAACAGTATGGGAACCCTACATATGTCTGGTCACTTCACTGTTTTACTCATTCACAAAAAAAAAAAAGGAAACACGTCGTAGTGGTGCCGTCCTTTTTTTTTTACGTTCGCCCTCTCGAAAGGCGTCATTGTATTTCGCATCCTCATGTTCGAACGTATGTCACCGGGTGTGACTACTTTCAACCCTTGATGACCTTCAGCCTCTCAAACTGAGTAGCTGTGCAGTTTCTCCTTTCCCTAAAACGTTCGGTGGCAGCTGCTTCGAAGTGTTATTCTGCGAGCAGGGGCACTGGTTTGTGGAGCAGTTCACGTGAGTTCCCTTGACGCTTCGCAGGCGGGACGTCCGTAAGAGGCGTCCGGCAAAGGGTAGTTTCGAACCATCTTCTTGTTCGAAGCTGTTCGTGTTCGTGTCGTGCTTATAGCAACCTAAGCACGTATACTCAGTGCAAATGGTGTAGTAGGCTTCTTATCAGAACAGCCTCAGAGTTAACTTTTCACACACTTTTTTGCTCCATACGAGACTCTTAGAAGAGCATTCATTTTTTTTATTCGAGATACGTCGTTCAGGGAAGCCTAAATGCGTCAATGAAAGAAAAAATAATGGCATCAGTTTTAACGCGATGACACTATCGTGCGGCAAGCGTACAGGCGCACATGATTATGTTTTTTATTAAAGTTATTTTAAAAAAAGAAAAATGTTGGAATCAAATGTTCCTTGACATTCCAAAATATTAAGTCAGGTTGTGTCTGCTACCTGATATGTATGAGTTGTACTTTCGAAGACTTACTGCTTGCGAAGTGAGAGGAGATAACTGATGTCAACATCTGTTTTATTTGCTCATGTTAGTGCATAACTGGGCTCGCTGCAAATCCGCAGAACTGTTGCCTATGGTTGGAGCAACAGGGAGTAGGCGGCCGATTTCAGTTCAGTGGTCAACTTTAGTGATCGCTCGCTTTCCCAAGAAAGCAGTACTTTGACGCCAAGCTCATTTTCCTTTCATCTTCTCTCTCAGCAACGTTAAGAGAATGATGCAGGAGCTATGATGAGTGCTGTATACTGAAACCCCCTCCGTACTTTACGTGTAAAGTAGGCGCAATCATTCACGAACTCTTTCCTTGCTTGTGATGTGCCATTTTGGGGGGCCTGTGCTCGCAGCGATGTTTCCATGAGCGCCGGCACTGTGTTCCATTGCCGCTGTGTGTAACAACCATACCACCTTTTTTGCTCGATGTTAGAACTGATGGGATACTGCGGATTTGTGCTAGCTTCGCTGTCTATTCATTGAGGCAGCTTGAACAACAAAACTGTTATTTTACACTGCGCGGGCAGGTGGTTTAAGTACGGCTTTCATTTTTTTGTCTTTTGTTTTTTTCGCGAAGCTCGTTGTCAGCTAAACAGAAGTATTTCGGGGGTGTATACACTGCCCTCGTGGTTTTTGTGTAATGTTGACTGGATCTGCTCAAGTTGACATTTATATTTTCAAGATCTGGGCATTTCAGAGTGTTTTTGTCATTCTGCTTTTTCACCCCTCTGTTTTTTCTCCGTTTGCTTTTGTTTTCGTGCCGCCGGCTATTGTCTTTCGTGAAACGCAAGTTGGGCGATCCATCATTGTATTGCAACAAACAAAACAGGCCTGTGAAAAACGGTAGACATCGCGGTCAATTTCAAACATGTTCTTCTGCAAGATCCACTGCTTGCTCATTCTGAACGAACTGCGAGGTATCCCTATAGGCGAACTTCTATGGTGTTGCCCGGCAGAGTGGTGGTAACCCAGTGCCCGGTGATCTTTGGGCACGAAAATGGGAGGACAGAGAGCCATTGCATTGGGTTTCTCGTGCGTCGTGTTGAGGTCCCGTAGTACCGAGGGCGCAACGTAAGCGGCAGGCCAGAAAAAACGGCGAGAACCATGGAATTTCTGTCGTCTATGCCACATGCCTATGTGTGACGAAACCAAAGACAAAACAAACAAACAAGTACACAACACCTGCTCATAGCCGTCATGTGAGTTCATCCAGTGTATAAGCCTTACCTTCTCCATTCCATACATCATAACCCATCAACAGTTAGCCCAAGACGCTGAGGAAACCTCTCCGGGTGTGTGACACGACTGCCTTTCCTCCTGGCTTCATGCCACTCGCTGTACCGACCAACAGTTCGTCAAGCTATTTCTTTCATGCTCTAACATATTGTAAAGCTGTATATACACCGAGGAGGTTATGGCTGTAGGTTAAGTTATCCTTCTTGTTGCCAGAGCATTACAAAGCACGCCTGCAATCGTTCGCAAGCAGCATGGCATTGAATTGTTGAAGCCAGAGATTTACGTCACTCTCTTCTGCTTTTAAACACACAAAAAACTAGTAGAACGGTTGCATCTTGGAATGACTTTGCCAACCAATAAGAAGCGCTTAGTGGCTCGTTCACGGGCACTTTAAATGCCGGTGTTATAGTTTTGACGTCTACAAACGAGTCTTGTTTGTCTTTAGTTGCTTGAATAGTATACACAAATGCTTGAGCCACTGTTTCAAGTGTTGGAATTTCTGTGAGCTCTGTAACACATGCTCTAACTCAAGCTTCATAACACAAGAAAGCGCTTATTGGGAGCCGACGCATCTATAGGTAGCCTTTTGATTTTCAGTCTTGCAAGTTTTTTTTTTTTTTTCTAAACAAGAAACTCCTGCAAGGGCGTTTCAATGCGCAAAAAAGTACAGGACTCATTTTTACCTATGAGCACCCATGATGAGATATTCAAGCAAGAACTTTTGCCAAGTTATTATTTTATTTTTGTTTAGAACTTCCCGCCTGACCGGTAAGAAAAAATTATGCACGCAGGGATTTTAATCTCTACCGTTTCAGCCATTGCACACATTGCAGTTTTTTCAAGCTGCTGCTGCTCCTGCTTTCATGTAGCGTCAGTATTTTTCCTGTGAGTGTATTCCACACCAAAAGCCTGTTCATGCTCAAGTGTGTACACTGCGACATTCGTGTAAAATCAGTTAGCTTAGAACATTTCATACGTGCATCTGCGTTAAACTGCGCATCTACTGTAGCGCCGAAGGAAAGAACCCTTGTTAAGATAGCAGTGTGTGGTTCTGAAAAAGGAAGAAAAAAAGGGGGTACATTTGAACCTTGAGCGTTCAGCACTGACACGCCGAAGGACGAGGCAAAGAACGTTCGGCCAGGTGTGGGTGTCTTCCTCCACCCTCTGTCATGATCTTGATCTTGAGAGAAAAATGACAGCAAGACTTGAAGACGATGTCGTGCAGCTAGGCCATTGTAGGACATTGGAATCATTCTGAAGGTGCTGTAGGAACAGTGAAAAGACAAAACAAACGCGCGCAAAGAGCTTAGCGATGCTCCGAACAATACGGAGGGCCGAGTATGAGGCTCGACGAAACTTGTGGACTTAAGGATGAGTGTACAGTTTGTACTACGTTTTAATATATTTGTAAAACATTGCACACGTTTTTTGTACAGCGAGGACAAACCACCACCACGGTAGCTTTCGGCTCTTTAGAGATGTAGTGCTCGCGGATGCACGCGGTCGCCGACGCGACGCTACCTGCCGCGACAGGGCACAAATAACCCGCCGCGGCGCCCTCTTTTATCTTTCCGTTCCTCTTTCTTTCGGCCAGGGTAACGTGGAGAAAAAAATTGTGCGTACAAATGAGTGCTTAATTTATTTTTGTATGCGTGATGCATGTAAATACACTCTCTGCACCGCAAGTCAGCGCATATTGTTTTCTAGTTTCGACTCTGGTCAAGTTTGAGAAAAGGGCGCGAGAAATATAGGTGAGGCTTTGAGTGCAATGAAGAGTGGTGGTTGAGGGCGAGTATTTCGGCGCAGTGAAAAAGAATACATACTATACATGCACATTATATAGGTGTTCCTTAGCTGTTGTTTTATCCCCCTGCAATTTCTTGTTCTTGTTGTTCGAGTGTTCACGTTTCTGTTGCTGTCTCGAATACAAGCCTTGAGAGTACAATTTTTTCAAATGATTAACTCCATCACGACCACCCCGCAACACGTCACTGTTGTTTACAAGCAGCCTCTCTTCTGGGTAGCCATTAATAGACAAACACGTATACAGGGTGTTTTTTTGTTCTTTTTGGTTGTACAAAAACCTGAATACCTAAGCTAAGCTTTTCATTCACACGTTTGTATCCACGGCACAGGCTCTAAGAATTGCATGACCATTCCCCATTAAAGTTACAAGCCGTTGTAAGACGTCAGAATGAATTTGTCTGAAAAGCCGCAGTGCAAGCAAAATAAAAGTCTGTATGTGTCTATATAGCAGATATATGTATATCATATACTCGCCACAATATGGGGGCGTTCACTAGCGCGCCCACATTGTCTTTCCTCTCCCATGTACGTGCTTTGTCCGCGGATCATCTCGAAAACAAGAAAGTGTTATTTTACTGTCATGGTTGAAAAACATTTTGCGCTATATTATGAAGAAAAACAACCGGTGTGTAATATCAGCAATATAGGTGGATTTTTGCGGAACTCTCTGCGTTGTCTCGGGCACTAGTTTGTGACTGAGTGGTCATTTATAAATGCACTTTGGTGTTTAAATGGCTTGTATTTAGTTTCGCGTGTTCGTGTTCATGTTCTTTTTTTCAGTCACCGGCAACGTCTTAAAGGCATTGATTGATTGATATGTAGGGTTTAACGTCTCAAAATCACCATATGATCATGAGAGACGCCGTAGTGAAGGGCTCCGGAAGTTTCGACCACCTTGGCTTCTTTAAAAAAGGAACACAAAAGTAACATGCTTTCAAGGAATAGAGATCTAGGCCACTTTAAACTTTACAACTTGAGAAAACAGGAAGTCGTCGTCAAGACCATCCAAACCATATACAGAAACCAATATATATATATATATATATATATATATATATATATATATATATATATATATATATATATATATATATATATATATATATATATATATATATATATATATATATATATATATATATATATATATATATATATATATATATATATATATACACTCGTTTCGAAGCAGTTATAGAACGGCATGCCGGCTCGCGCACGCGCATTGAACGGAATCTTTGAGCTTCCTTCTGAGGTGTACACATAGCTTGGGAGACGTTACAGTCATTTGTGATTGCTTTTCATGGCTCGCTCCCGCTCAGCCTTCAAGCAAGAACACCAATGTCTGTGCCCTACGCTTTGATCCTCCCAAGAGCACAAAACTTTTGTTCGCTCCTAAGATTAACTGCCAAAGAACATTCGGTGAGGCGTTTCTTCTTTTTTGGCGATGCTCTTAAGTTCAGTGAAGTGCACCTATGGCTAAACTGTCAACACTGAGTTAGCGACAAGAGCACTTATCTTGAACACCCTATGAGCAGCCTCCAGAGAATTTTGGTAAACGGACAATGAGCGCCATTGTGAACCTGAAATGCGAAACAACCGCTCCTGCCAAAATACTGGAATTGAAACTGGTGGAGCTGTGGCTGCATCGAACCGTGTCTATGTCAGCAAAAAAAAAAAAAGCAAAAACTTTTCAGACCCCAAATTTGCGTTCATCTCGGTTACAGATCCATTCGGTTACGAAACACCTGGAACCATGCTTGTTTTAAGATTGTAATGAACTTCATCTTTTAATAACCTGCCATTTCTTCAATGAGACCATGCCTGTCAACAGGCAGTTTGCATGTTAATATTCAAATTCGAATTGTTAAACAATGGCACTAATTCAAAAAGGGACTGCAAGGGGCAGAAAACAATATATAACACGAAAATGTTTCTATGAAGTGCACAAATCACTGTCCGTTACTCATTCAAATATTATGTAGGTGACATGTAATATTATGATTGTACAGCTGTTAAGGATGAAAAATGGACATTAAGCTATGATATCTTACTTAGTGACTGCGATCTAGTTTGTTAACACTGTATTTGTGCTGTAGCACTTGTTGGTGCGCATAATTTTTTTCATTCATTGTGAAAAGTTGGTTGCTGTGTGGGCAAAAATGAAAAGCTGTTCTTATAACAATAGTGTCAAACTCAACTTTTATTATTGACATTTTACGGGAATGCTATCAACGAAGACGCCAAGCTCACTTGAAAACGGTGTGTTGATTTTGAGTGAGTGCGCTCTCTGTATCTCACTGAGCGGTGGAAACTTGACAGCAAGGATAAAACAAACTTCACTAATACGAAACTTTTCTTCTTTGTATGGGAAGGTCATTGTGTAGTGGTTATGTGTATTTTACATTTAGTATTGTTCAAATGATCTAAATGTTATCGGGGGATAAGCGGGGGCATACAACAGTTGACGAAGCCAATAAATGGCCGGCGCAGCGTCCAAAATATGAGAGTGAATGTTTCCCGGAGTGTTGCTTCACATATGACGTTCACCGTGTTCACACTACGTACATCGTTGTGAGCATTCGTGCATTATCGAAAATCTGCACCTTCCCAAGCTGTATCACCCTAATCTGGTAATTGTACATACTTATTTGTGTTTTCGTGATCTTTACGTTCGCGTTGTTTTGTTAGTGTTTCAAGAATAAATTAATAAAAGCTATGTTTTGCACAATACGTGCTGAATCGTCTCTGGCTCTCACTTACCACCCAGCTTCCAACCACGTGTCTGTCAAAGAAGTGCGGTAACATGTACAGCGCCGATAATTGGACCTGGACTCTTGTACTTAGACTATAGTAACACAGAGTGCCAGGCGGTGTTATATTCCTTTGATGGAAAGTTGAAATAAGCGCTGATGAAGGTGAGTCAGTCCATCTTCAGCTATGCGGCCTCATAACTATGTAAGTTGATCGTTATTTAAAAATAGCAGATGGTAAGTGTCATTTTTAAAGTACTCTTGAGATTTAGCGCACAGCGTAGTGCATTACTGTGGCACATGGTGCAATCTTGTGGACAAATGAGCACTAGATAATAGATGGTTAGTACTGTGGTCAACATCGTTTCACAGTGACACACATTGTGAACGAGTACTGTACAATACATCTCGGAGGCACTGAAAATGAGTTCATGACTGAAAGTGTTGCAAGCTCATCGGAATTATGAGGTAAGCGGCCTGAATACAAAATGCCTGACACAAAAACAATTCAAAAGGTTATGATAAATGCAAAATCACGGGCACCTTCTTATTTGTGTGAAGTATATAGACTACACTTGCACGCGTAATTTGAGAATGCATCGACTGATTGAGTATTGGAAATCGATGTAGGTATCTGGAGCCTGTATGTGAAGTGCAGTTGCAATAATCGTTTCACAAACACATTCTTTAATCACAGTTGTTTAAAAGCATTCAGTATCTCCAGAATAAGGACTGAACATTTTTTTTGTGAGAAAATGCGAATAATTACTGGCCCAGCGTGGTAAGTATGGGCACACTCGTGTGATGTTCGAATTAATTATGGGGCGTAGCGATTCCTGCACAAAACCTTGCAGCATCATCACTTGCCCCCAACGTTTTTGGAGAACCAGCGAGTTCAGTAAAGAGGCAAGCTGCTATAAATGTAGATAGCTCGGTGAGTTGGTATGAATCCACGGTAGCAAGCAGTGTGAAAACAAGATAAACACACAGAAATAAAAGAGAAGAGCTTGTCTTTTCTTTCCGTGTGTCCGTCTTGTTTATCGCTCTGCTTGCTGCGATGAAGCTGCAATAGCCCTGTGACTTTTTTTTCTCGCTCAGAAGATCGGGTTTGCCAGTATAGGATGATCCGCAATTTTTCCAACTGAAACTGTTCATAACATTGACCATATGAGGTTCTTTTTTACTGCCCATTTGTTCATCCTATCTATCTATCTATCTATCTATCTATCTATCTATCTATCTATCTATCTATCTATCTATCTATCTATCTATCTATCTATCTATCTATCTATATATCTATCTATCCATCCATGTATCTATCTATTTTTTTTTCTTTTTTACCTATAGAGCCAGGTATCCGGGTGGTCAAGAGCTGCGAAACCCCCGCATTAAAAGTGGCATGTTTCGTAAGGGTTGTGCTGACACGACGCGACATGTCTTACTTGAACGCTTGCACTCACTTTCTGTGAAGTGTAATGTATGCGCAAAGTCGTCGATAATCTGCATAAAAGGCGTTCTTGAGCTGCAATACAACGGAAAGTGCAAAGCGTAACAGAATAGTGAGACAGAAAATGGACAGAGGGAAGTGAACCGAGGTCCCGAGAGTGGATAGCGACAATGAATTATGATGCCAGAAATGGAACCGGGGGAAGAGTTAAGAAGCCGGATATAAAGTGCTGTAAATACGTGACCCGGTGGCGCAACGGTAGCGCGTGTGACTCCAGATCAGAAGGGTGCGTGAAAGGGCTGTAAATACTAGAAGTGTATTAGGATACGACAAATAAATTAAGAGACTTCTTATACAGAAAACTATCGTAATCTTTCACCGACATTATTTCCGGGACAGGAACAACGTTGATAAATGGAACTACATCTTTAGGGTGTACAACAGCACGCATGCAGTGTGAATGACACTTCGAAGACGTTCTGTCACGATGAAAAACTAACATCAATATCGAACTGCAACATGCATTCACCGCAGTTAGGCATATCTGTGCTTTCAGCTGGCGTCACTGTAGTGCTAGAATCCTGCTCCGGCTAGCACCATCGCACCGCGTGTGTATACCGCATCTGAATGTCGTACCTGGTTCTCGAAACATATATGCAGTGAACTAGCGCCAGCCAGATCAAGAGTCGAGTGCTATGGTGATGCCGGCTGAAAGCACAGATTCACCTATTGTCAGTCAAGGCCGTGGTAAAGGCATGTAGGAGTTCTACTGGGCCAAAAGCGACACTTTCCACTGTTCGTGTTTCTTTCAATCGCAGTAGTACAAAGAAGGCCCTTTTACTGCCGTCTCAATTCATAGCCGCAGAATAATTATAGCTGCTGGGTTCTGGTGCCGCAGGCCAGCCGCTCTACCAACCATGCGTGATTCATACGGTACTACACCTTAATTGTAATACTACAAATTGTTGGCGTTTTACATCCCAAAACAACGATATGATGAAGAATGTGCAGTGGAGGGGTCCAAAGTATTTGGCCACTAGGATTTCCTTCCTCCTTTTTTTAACGTCTCAAAACCACCATATGATTATGAGAGACGCCGTAGCGGAGGGCTCCGGAAATTTTGACCACCTGGGGTTCTTTAACGCGCGTGCACCCAAACTTGAGCACATTGGCCACTAGGAGTTCTTTAAAGGAGTATTGATACGATTTCGACGCACGTCAATAGAGATGTTTCGATTCTGTGGTGTGCACCATCACCTCCCTCTTCAGTTCGGAACCATACAACTTATATAAATATTTTACTTTTATTTTGAAGTTTTTATCACCCAGTATGGGCAATTCGCCCCCACCGCAATGGCCATTATCACGACAAGTCAACATAGTTCACTGAGTTTTCCCAATGCTCGCCGTCTAAATCGCCAAATTCGCTGTCATAGTCTGGGCGACAGTTGACTCACCGTTGTATACGTGAACCACGTGCGACTGAGGGCCAACTGAGAGCAGTTGCTGGCATAACGCGAGTTGCAATGTTCCCATGACATCAGACTTGTGTTGACGCGGCAATGTGAAGCCACCCTCTCGATATCGAAACCGGAATGGCTGTTTTGAGTTAGCCATAT